TCTGTATTTCCTGAATTTGAATGTTGGCCTGCCCTACTAGGTTGGGAAGTTCTCCTGGATGATATCCTGCAGAGTGTTTTCCAACTTGGTTCCATTTCCCCCTCATGTTCAGGCACGCCAATCAGATGTAGATTTGGTCTTTTCACATAATCCCATATTTCTTGGAGGCTTTGTTCATTTCTTTTTCCTTTTTTTTCTCTAGACTTCTCTTCTCACTTCATTTCATTCATTTGATCTTCAATCATTGATACTCTTTCTTCCAGTTGATCCAGTCGGTTACTGAACCTTGTGTATTTGGCATGTATTTCTCATGTCATAGTTTTTATCTGTGTCAGTTCGTTTATGGCCTTCTCTGCATTGATTATTCTAATTATCCAGTCTTCCATTCTTTTTTCAAGATTTTTAGTTTCTTTGTGCTGGGTACATCTTTCCTCCTTTAGCTCTGTGAAGTTTGATCGACTGAAGCCTTCTCTCCACTTGTCAAAGTCATTCTCCGTCCAGCTTTGATCCGTTGCTGGCGATGAGCTGCGTTCCTTTGGAGGGGGAGATGTGCTCTTATTTTTGAATTTCCAGCTTTTCTGCCCTGCTTTTTCCCCATCTTTGTGGTTTTATCTGCCTTTGGTCTTTGATGATGGTGACGTACTGATGGGGTTTTGGTGTGGGTGTCCTTTCTGTTTGCTAGTTTTCCTTCTAACAGTCAGGACCCTCAGCTGTAGGTCTGTTGGAGATTGCTTGAGGTCCGCTCCAGACCATTTACCTGCATATCAGCAGCAGAGACTGCAGAAGATAGAATATTGCTGAACAGTGAGTGCTGCTCTCTGATTCTTGCTCTGGAAGCTTCGTCTCAGGGGTGTACCCCGCCGTGTGAGGTGTTGGTCTGCACCTAGTGGGGGATGTCTCCCAGTTAGGCTACTGAGGGGTCAGGGACCCACTTGAGCAGGCAGTCTTTCTCTACAGAGACAGGCAGGCCTCCTTGAGCTGCGGTGGGCTCCACCCAGTTTGAGCTTCCAGGAGGCTTTTTTACCTACTTAAGTCTCAGCAATGGCGGGCGCCCCTCCCCCAGCCTTTTTGCTGTCTTGCAGTTGGATCTCAGACTGCTGTGCTAGCAATGAGGGAGGCTCCGTGGGCATGGGACCCTCCCAGCCAGGTGTGGGATACAATCTCCTGGTGTGCCATTTGCTAAGACCCTTGGTAAAGCACAGTATTAGGGTGGGAGTTACCAGATTTACCAGGTGTTGTGTGTCTCAGTTTTTCAAGGGATTCCCTTCCCCCTTGCGCTTCCCATGTGAGGCGATGTCTGGCCCTGCTTCAGCTCTCACTGGTCGGGCTGCACCAGCTGACCAGCACTGATTGTCCCGCACTCCCCAGTGAGATGAACCTGGTACCTCAGCTGAAAATGCAGAAATCACCCGTCTTCTGTGTTGTTTACGCTAGGAGCTGGAGGCTGGAGCTGTTCCTATTCGGCCATCTTGCTCCAGAATCCCCTAACACTTTTTTCAAGCAATGCCTACTGCTTTTCTGGCCTGAGCTCTAAGTTAGGTAAAACAGCGACGAGTGCTCTGTCAATCCTTTAAGTAGCCCCAGACAGGCTACCAGAGACTTAAACAAGAATTTGTAAGTTCTGCTTTGCTTTCTCTAGAAATGGGGATCAGGGTCCAAGACAGAATGCAGTTGCTGATTTCAAGACTGTTGCAACACCAGGGCACTTGCGTTGGAAGGGCAGGCAGAAATGTCAGAAAGCTTTCTCGCCATTTTAAAGTTGCCTGTTGTTGACTCAGCATTTGCTTCATTGCTATAAACTTTTTACTATTTTACTATTTTCCAGAGTTCTGACAAAATTGGCTATGCCTGTTCCTGTTTTTTTATATATGTATAAAATATATATATAATATATATATATATTTAGAGATTGGGGTCTCAGTATGCTAACCAGGCTGGTCTTGAACTCCTGGCCTCAAGCCTTCCTCTCATCTCAGTTTCCCAAAGTGCTGCAATTACAGGTGTGAGCCACCACACCCAGCCCCTGCTTGTTTTTCAGTGTGCCTACTCCACCATGTTGCTCAAGTGTGTATATTTTCTAAACTACCTGGTAGTGTTGTGATGGGAAATAAATCCCTGAGCCTTTTGTATAACTCAGATCAAAAACTTAGTTTATCCTATTAGAAGGATTAGAAACATGATAAATCTTTCACTTTTTCAGGGATGGGCTCCTCATTAGAAGGCTCCTATGTGCCAGATGCTGTACAAGACTTTTAATTTCTCTTAATGTTTACAAGAAGCTTGTTGCCAAGGCTGATCTTGAACTCCTGGCCTCAAACGATCTAGCTCAGTCTCACAAAGCGTTGGGATTGTTTGGCCAACTAATGACTATCTTAACTCTTGTGTTTCAATGTTTATGCCCTCTTTTTTCTTGACTGATTGTATGACTATGTCTTCTAGAACAATGTTGAACAGAAATGGTGACAGCAGACATCCTTGCTTTAATATTTCACCATTATATACGATGTTAGGTGTAGATTTTTCTCACAGATGCCCTTTATCAGATTGAGGAATTTATATTCTTACTTTGCTGAAAGGTTTTTGTAGTCTGAGGGCGGCTGCATTTTGTCAAACACTTTTTTTTGTAATAATTGAGATGATTGGTTCTGCAGTCATCGAGATGTGGATTTTCTCCTTTATTCTGTTCGTGATTACACTGGTTGACTAATGTTAAACCAACCTTACTTTCCAGGAATAAATCCTATTATCTTTTTTACACATTGCTGGATTTGATTTGCTAATTATTTTGAGGACTTATTTCTACATTCATGATAGATATTGCTATTATTTTCTCATGATATCTTTTTTAGGATTTGTATCATATATGGCATTTCTTAGGTATACCTAAGTATCATTTATTCAAGGACCTAAGAAATGCAAAGATCAATTCTGTTTTGAGGTGGTTTTTCCATCATGAAAAAAAATTTCTTTAAAGTCATCTGTCTGATTCTGTAAAAATTTCACATTCTTTACGTGAACAAAAAGCTGAAAGAAATTCAGGGAAAGAATTAGATGTATATGAATTGCCAACTCAATGTTTTGTTCTTGCTAGTTGTGTTCCCCCTTCTTATTCCATCCATTTCATAGTAATAAGAAATAAAGAATTCTACATTGAGATTTAGGTAAATTTTTGAATTACAGTATATGATAAAAACCTTGAGGTTCAAACTCCAGGTATAATGAAATTTAATTGAATATTACTATAGTAGTTTAAGTCAATTTGTAGTTTTGAAAGTGGTTTTAATATTTTATCTTCCACAAAAAGGTAGGAAGGTTTCTTAGCTGAACTTAAAAATATAAAGGAACACATCCAACATATCTTTAGTTAAAAATCCAAAAGGTAGAGGATAATTTCCAAATGTGCACTTTAATAGAAAAAAATTACAAATTTCATGTGCGATAGAGTATCTGCCACTTATGTAAAAAAAAAAAACAAAACCAAAAAACCCAAAACTTTATGTACACATAAAAACACAACATTTTTGTAAATAGATTAAAGATCTAAAAGGATAACATTAAAATGAAAACAGCAGTTACCTCTGGGGACAACAGTTGTGTGAAAATGCTAACTGCTTTTCAACAATGGTTTGAATTTTCTAGATAAGATTCTATTCTTGTATAATTTTGCTACTAAGATAAACATTAAAAAATTCTTCATACCAGTGAATCACAAGTCCTCACTGCAACGGACATAACACACCCAACTCCTAAAATAAATTATATGTAGTTATGAAGGTGGGGTGACATAAAAGTAGGTTATATATTCAAATCCTACAATATATTCAAGTTTTTCCAATTATCTTTTGGGCAACAATTTGCAAAATATATTTACGGTTTCCGTTAAGTTATTTAATAAGTAGACTTAGAAAAATTACTAGTAAACTGACATTTTGGAAAATGTTCTTAATTTCTTTTGATTAAATTATCTTGCCTCAGTCTTATTAGACAAATATTTTATCAGAAAATGAATCACATGTTCTCAGTATTTAAAATATCTGTTCCCTTCTTAGTCCTACCACCAATGACAAAAAAACAAAGTAACAACTTGCTAACAAGTAATGTCTTAATGCATAAAAAAAAATCAACAAATTTAAAAGAAAGGCCAAATATGGTGGCTTAAGCCTGTAATCCCAGCATTTTGGGAGGTCAAGGTGGGTAGATTGCTTGAGCTCAGGAGTTTGAGACCAGCCTGGGCAATGTTGCAAAACCCCATCCCTACAAAAACAAATACAAAAATCAGCTGGGCATGGTGGTACATGCCTACAGTCCCAGCTACTTTGGAGGTTGAAGTGGGAGGACTGCTTGAGCCCAGGAGGCAGAGGTTGCAGTGAGCTGAGATTGTGTCACTACACTCCAGCCTTGGTGACAGAGCCGGACCCTGTCTCAAAAAATATAATTTTAAAAAATGAAAAGAAAATTGGCAAATAAGGAAAACTTCTGCCACAAGCATGGGCAAAAAATCAGTATCTTTAAAAATATAAAGGTCATAAAGTCCATAACAAAAAGATGGATATTTCAGAAATAATTACAAATGGCCAAAACAAATATGTTTACTCTCTCATAGTCAAAACAAAATAAGCTATTAAAATAAGATTATTTTTACCTTTCAAATTTTCAATGCATTTTTAAAAAGGATAATAACTACGCTGGTAGGGATTCACTGGCACTCACTTACACTTGTGTTGGTACACAAAATTGGTACAGATTTTTCTAAAGGACAATTTGACAATCAGCAAATGCCTTAATCATTTAATACTCAGCAAATAATTCACTCCAACTGAGATTTTCATACTGACTTATTTTTAAATGAAGGTAGTTAAAGAGAACTAAAAGATATTACTGTGGTTTAGGACAGAAGACTCACTAGCATGCTCACTTAAGCCAAAACCTTTGGCAAGGTTTCTCCAGTTCCCCTCTTAAGAAAATTGAAACACCAGCCAAAAGAATCAAAGGGAAACACATTGAGCTCTTAAAGCTTCAGTACATTTAATTCCTTAGAACACCACAGAATCATGGCAGCTTTTCATGATGCCAGAAGGTAGAGCATGGGGGGAATAGAGGTGGAGTCTTGTTTTTTTGCAAATCCTACCTTCTCTTACAGGGAATAAAGAAGACAGAGGCACCAGCTTCTTCTCAAGCAAAGGAACTGAGTGTAACTATATTAAAATTTTAGGATTTTCCTATAAAGTTTATTCAATCTTTTTAAATTAGTGATTTAAGATGGTCTAGGTGATGCTCTCCTATGAAGGATTCTGCTTGATTCAAAGCTTTTATTTTCACCAAAATAAGAATTATTTCTTCGACTTTATCCCTGAAAAACAAAACAAAACAAATTTCTCCCTTTGGAAATGCAATGTATGAGGGAACAGCAGTCAATTCAGAACCTGATCATCAGTTGTTAATCTAAAACAAAAGCTTTACCTTAAGCTAGTATCTAAAAGTAGCATAAAACACAGAGATGCTGCCATCTCCACTTAATTATAAAGTTAAAATACAGACCATTAGTGGATGTATTCTGGCAAATTTCAATGTGAATTACTGTAAAAAGTAGAAAAACATACAGTAAATCTATCAGAAATTTTAGTAGTGCTGTGTTGCTATCAGCTTGTATGAGACATTGTGGTGGAAGCAATGCTGGGAGTATATTCACACATCATTACATTGGCAAATAATACAAATCTGAGTCTTTTTTTTTTTAAAGGGACTTGGTCTTGCTCTGTTGGCCAGACTGGAGTACAATCATAGCACAATCATAGCTCACTGCAGCCTCAATCTCTCAGGCTCAAGCAATCTTCCCACCTCTGCATCCTCAGTAGCTGGGACTCAGGCACATGCCACCATGCCTAGCTAATTTTTAAATTTTCTGTTCTAGAGACAGGGTCTTGCTATGTTTCCCAGGCTATTCTCAAACTTTAGGGCTCAAGTGATCCTCCTGCCTCAGCCTCCCAAAGTGCTGACATTACAGGCATGAGCCACCGTGCCGGTCAAATCTGGGCTTAAAAATTTTTTTTGGAGAGGGAGTTAACAGGAATACCACTGTATTTAAGCCCCCAAACATCTGGTGCTGTGAATGAAACATTCAGAACAGAGAGCTAGCTACTGCTGGATAAATACCAAGCTGCAGACCTGTACTTAACAACCGTTGAGTCTCTAAAAATGGCCAGGAAAATTAAAAACATATTTAAAATGTGTAATAAAAGGGTTTGATTTATAGTTTTAATTCTATATTCCCCTGTGCTATAGTTTTTTGAATGTGCTTAATTTGGGAGAGATTTACATTTTAAAATATGAATATGCATAAGCCATCCCAAAGGTAACCATAAAAATATCTACTAACTCTACAGTATCACAAAGTTTTAACAAATTTTTAAAAGTACAGTAAAAATACAGATCTTTCTAAAAATGGCTGAGAGCATACAGAATCCTTGAACTATGTTTATAGAAGTGAAAACAAAATATGCATCACCTGAATTCACTTCTAGATAATTTATGTGCAGACTGCAATAAAAACTGAATGAAGTTTTCCAGCTGTGGAATAGATGTCCTCGTGGCAGAATTTTCAAACCATTTTTCTGGTAGACACGCTGCTACCTGTTAATCAAAACACATGGCTGGTTTACAATGACAGTATCTAAGAACTCTTGCTAATGTAATCTCATAGTGATACTGTAAGCTGAATATCATTCTCCCCATTTTATAGTTTATGGTTTAAATAAAAATTTGTAAAAATTTCCCTTTATGTCAAAGGCTACACATATTTTGGAAATTCATTCTTTAATCCTAAGAACTTAAAATACGCTACTCTCTATGAACACTCCCTAGTTGTATTGACCAAATATTTTGTGTCTAGACATTTCTGGTTTTTAAGTGTAAATTATGTTTTGTACAGATTTAATGACTCACAAATACAAGAACATAGAAAGAATTACTAGTACTACTAGGGTCTGGCTCTGTCACCAAGGCTGGAGTGTAGTGACACAATCTCAGCTCACTGCAACCTCTGCCTCCTGGGCTCAAGCAGTCCTCCCACTTCAACCTCCAAAGCAGCTGGGACTGTAGGCATGTACCACCATGCCCAGCTGATTTTTGTATTTGTTTTTGTAGGGATGGGGTTTTGCGACATTGCCCAGGCTGGTCTCAAAGTCCTGAGCTCAAGCAATCCACCCACCTTGAACCTGGGAGTTCGACCTTGCAGTAAGCCGAGATTGTGCCGCTGCACTCCAGCCTGGGTGACAGAGGGAGACTCCATCACAACAACAACAACAACAACAACAACAACAACAACAACAAAAGATACTCTGTGCAAACATTTTTTTAAAAAAAGAGAGCTTTAACACATTATAAACCACTTTGACCTAAGAGACATATAGAACATTACAGTCAACAACAGCATGATACACATTTTGCTCAAGTGTACGAGGAACATTCTCCAGGATAGACCATCTATTAGGCCACACACCAATTCTCAAACTTAAAAACATTAAAATCATACTAAGTATCTTCTCTAATAACACTGGAATGATATAACTCGTAATACATACATTCACTATTATTTTATAAATAAATTGGGTGTCCTAGCATATGATCTATATAAATTTGAGTTAAGAAATCAAATGGGTGATTCTAAGATATACAGCCAACACAACTGGTCAAGAAACTATCCTTCGTATAAATAATTTCCATTTCTCTGATTATTAGTACTAATGATTATTTTTCACATATTTTAAGGTTAATTTTACGTTTCCTTTTAGGTGACTTGACTGTTGCACATGTTTTGGCCATTTTTAGTCAGAACATTTGAATTATTTCCTAATTTGTAAAGAGTTTTTTAATTTAATGTGAATATTAATCCTTGTTACATGTTAACAACTTTTATTTCCTAGATTCTTTTCTTTTTAACTTTCTATTACAGAAAATTTCAAACATAAACAGCAGTAGAAAGAATAGTATAGTGAGCCGAATGAACACATTCCCCAGTTTTAATAATGATCAATTAATCTCAACACCTTTTTGATCCACTGAAGTTTTATAAAACATTTTCAAATCTATGACTTTTTTTCATTTCTTTTGCCTTTAGGTTTAGAAGGAAATCTCTCATTCTCAAGTACAGTTATTTACCATTTTAGTATATTTTATAGTTTCATTTTTATATTTTTAAAAATTTTACCTGGAATTTTATGGTATATAGTGACAGGTGAGGATTTAATATTCTTTTTGTAATCAGCCAGCCATCTAGCATCATTTATTAAGTACTTTTTCCTTTCCCTACTGGTGATATTTCAAACCAGTATACTATCTCTTAAATATAGAAGGGCTATTCTGGATTTCTAGTTTGTTAAATTCATTTGTCAATTATTATTATAATTTTTTTTTTTTTTAAACGGAGTTTTGCTCTTGTCACCCAGGCTGGAGTGCAATGGCGGCTCACTGCAACCTTTCGCCCCCTGGGTTCAAGCGATTCTCTTGCCTCAGACTCCCAAGTAGCTGAGATTACAGGTGTTAGCCACCACACCTGGCTAATTTTTGTATTTTTAGTAGAGACAGAATTTCACCATGTTGGTCAGGCTGCTCTCAAACTCCTGACCTCAGGTGATCCACCTGCCTTGGCCTCCCAAGTGCTGGGGTTACAGGCATGAGCCACTGTGCCCAGTTCATTTGTCTATTTTTATATGAGTACCACACATTTAATTATTTTGTTAAATAATAGATTTTAATAGCTAAATTTTTTAGAAATGATAAAATTAGAATCAGTTTCTTCACAACTCACCTGGTTGCACTTTTTAACCACATCTGGCCCAGGTGTGGCATTGAGAAGAGCTATAATAAGGTAACGATTTAGCAGCTTCCCTAGTCCTAGTTCTTGCAAGGTGTCATCTGTAACGAGTCCATTCCAAAGAAGAATATTGTGGAAGAGCTAAAATAAAGTATCAAGTAAATATGTACCTTTTCTCCAAAGAGAAACTGTAATAGTCTCTAACAAAAATAAAGAGTTGATCAAACTAAAATTCTCACTACAATTAGCCCTGTTGGAACTATCAATTTTAGAATACAATATCTCTGAATACTTGATTCTTTCCAAACTCCATGTATTTGCTCATCTTATTTTCATTTTCTAGGATAACCATCCCCAAATCTGTCTCAAATAACTTCACTAGAGCCTTTCCAGATCAATAATCTTCCTTCCCAATCCATTTTCTCTCAAAGCCGAGGACCACTGAATATAAGACCACAGGACCATGTGATTCATAAAGAACTACTGTCAAAACTAGGGCCGCTATTACCAACATGTGACCTTGAGAAGGCAATCAATGCTGAGAGCTTCATTCCTCTGATACATAAAGATTAATAATCACCTGTGAATTTGAAGATAACTTGGATTAAGTAACCATAATAAATTGTAATAAAATACTGGTTGCCCTTTCCCTCTACTAAATTCAGATCTTTCTGTGAATTTTAAGGTGTTTCTTTCTTTCTTTCTAGTACTATATTCACTACTCTACTGTTTTACTAAAATGTAATGCTTTTTCACATTTTATCTCATTGTTGATGTTGTTCCCTCTTCCCAGAAAGCCTTTTCCCTGATTCAACCACATGACAAATATTAATTCACACTATTAAAACTACTCTTGCTGAGGTCACCTATATCCTTCTAATTGTCAAATCCAATAAGTAGTTTCAGTCTTTCTCTTAATTCTCTTTGGTGGCATTTAACACTCTTTTCTTCATTCTTGAAAATCCTCCGTTTAGCTTCTTTGAGGCCATTCTCTTGTGATCATCCTAAGGCTCATAACTGATTCTACAGTTTCCTTGAAGCCTCCATGTTCTCCTCTTCTGTTAGTATTTCCCGAGGTTCTGTCCTTAGCCTACTTCTCAGGCTTCATCCAGTCTCCTTAGAGCTTGTCATTCATGACCATGGGTCCAAATATTGCCTACAGGTAGTGGACTCCTAAATCTCCAGCTCAGATCTGTCTCCTGAAATTCAGACTCAAGTATCCAACCACCTCCTAGACCTCTGTATCTCTATTTGTTCCACATATACCTTCATTATGTCCAAAATAGATCTTATCTTCCCTTGATCAGTTATGGAGTCCTTTCAGTGCTTCCTCCTAAACATTGTTTGAACCTTCTTCTCCTTCCCATCTCTACTGCCACTGACTTAGCAATAATTTTAAGGCCAGGGATTGGCCAACTATAGCTTGTGGGTTAACTATCCTGTTGCCTGTTTTTGTAGGGTCCATGAGCTAAGAATGGTTTTAACATTTTTCAAGGACATTTTAAAACTGTTTTTAAACAAAATATTTTGTACCATGAGAAAATTATATGACATTCACATTTCAGCATTCATAACTTTTATTCAAACATATCCATGTTCATTTGTTTACGTATTATGACTGTTTTTGTGCTATGGTGGCAGAATTGAGTAATTAGAGACTATGTGAACCACAAAGCCTAAAATACTATCTAATTCTTACCGAAGAAGTTTGTTGTTCTTTGTTCTACAGTAAACAGGATTTTTACAAAATTTGCCTTTTCATTTTTGCAGTTTTTGCTCACCTTTAGGCCTGACCAGAACTGTCTTTCTTGGAACTTTGAATGAGGTGATGTTTTGTTTTCTACAGCACTAATTAGAAACAAAAGAAGGAGAAAGGAGAAAATGCAAAGAACTATTAGCCTTTCAGAACCAGAGTTTGAGATGAGACTTTCTTTTAAACCAACCAAACTAAGCCTTAATGGAATATAAACAGAGATTGTCTGATGAGATCCATTGGAATTACAAATTTATGCACACTCTGACCCAATGATCTCATTTCTGAGAATGCCTCTTGTAGATATACGTGCACAAGTATGGAATATGTCTATAATATTGTTTACAACATCAGTGATGATAGTAGTTCACCAGTCATATGACCATCATAGGACATCTAAATGATGGCAAACTTTACAGCTTAAAAAAGAATGAGGAAGCTGTTTATATGATGGATGACATGTATAGAAAGATCTCAAGAGGTACTAAGTGAAAAAAATGTACAAAACAGATTACAACTGTTTAGAGTATACTTCCTTTGCTGTAGAAAGGAGGGTATTAACATAAGATTATAGCTTATATAAGTACTTTGTTTGCATGAAGAAAGTTTTGAAAGATAAAAATTACTCAGTGTGATTATTAATGCATGCACATATGTGAGTAGAAGGAGAAGGGCAAAAACTGAGTCAGGGGTGGGAGTAACACTTTTCATTTTAATAAAATTGTTTTAGTAAAATAATATATACTTATTTATAAATAAACAATATACCACATTCATACATCTGAACCATGTGAATGCATTACCTATCTAAAACATTACAAAGCAAAGTTTACCATGGCAGAATTTTTACATGTAGACATCTCATGACTCAAAACGAATCAGAAAGCTTTGAGGTTCCTTTCTTCCCCCTCCAAAAAACTCCTCCATCCTGTCAGTACTCACTGGATTGCTATAGTTCATGTATCATTATAACTGATGCCTTCTTAGCAAAGTTATGATCATACATCAAATACTACTTGCTTTATAATTTAAAGTGGCTGCAGAATTTACAGGTGCAGTTTCTGGTTCCTCAGTGTTGTGCTTCCTTTGTGCTAGGCACTGTTGTGTTCTGAGCACCCTCTCCATCTCCCTAATATCCTGTGAGGTAGGCACTAATTTTATCCTAATTTTATAATGAGAAAACAGGTATGTAAAAATATCTACTAACAGTGGACTTGTGCTCTTTACCACTCTATATCACCTGCTATGTTCCTAGGATATGTGTAAAACTAAAACCAAAACCCAAACCAACCAAACAAAAATACATCTAAGCACCAAGCATAAAGCACAGCATAAAGTAGGTCACTGAGAAATATTTGTTGAAATCTCAATTTGCATCCTCATAGAGTATGTGTACGCGTTTTGAAAACACTACAGTTTCTTTTGCATTGCATTCTTAAACAAATCTGAACTCTATGATCGGCTATTTCCAATAATCTAGAAATTAACAGCTCTTACCTCTTTGGATACAGAGGAATAAAAACATCATCTTCTACTGCCTTCTTCATTCTTGAAACAATGGATTTAAGTAAATCCTATTATTACAAATTTGAAAAGCATCAGTGATAGTAGAAGACAGAAATGTATTCACCAAAAAAAAAGTAATTTTAACAGCAGTACAAATTTGTCCACACTCACAGAAGCAGCTGTTAAAATAACTATCAGTTGGGTACAAACAAAACCTTATTTATCCATGTTGCTACATATGGGTATAGTTGGATCATATTCATTGCTATATAGTATTTTGTTGCATGAATACTACTGATGGAACACTTAGGTGATTTCTGGTTTGGTGGCTATTATAAATAATGCTGCCACAGAAATTCTTGTACATGTCATTTAGTACACGTCATACATCTCTAATGGGTATATACATAGAGATAGAATTGCTGGAGTATAGTTCATGTCCATACATTCAACTATGCACAAAAAAACCAAACTGTTTCTAGAACAGTGGCATCCCATTACTGCCTGCAGTATAAAAGAAATCCTGTTTCTCTACATACTTACAATAATTGGCATTTTCTTGTTTCTTAATGTTTGCAATTGTAGTAGATATGCAGTCATATTTCATTGTGTTGTTTTAATTCTCATTTAATTATCACTGAGTAATGTGCTGTTGGGTATATTTTCATATTCCTGTTTGCCACTTGGCAAGCCCTTTTGCAAAGTACCTAATTAAGCTGCTTGCCAACATTGCTTTTTTTTGTATTAGGTTCTGTCTTTTTATTATTGATTTGTGCAAGTCTTCTACATACTTCAGCTGTGGGTCCTTTGTTGGTTTGTCTTGTGTCCTGTGATGCAGAAAATCCACTTAGGGAAATCCATTTTGTTTGTATATAAAAAATTGGAAATAACCAAAATATTCAATCATAAGGAATTTTAAGGAGATGTTACATCCATCCAGTGAATCTACCATAAACTTTAGCTGAAGTTTGTGATGACTACAGTAACAGACGACTATAAATATGCAATGAGATAACATTAAGCAGTAGTAGTATACTAACTTACATGCCTATTAGGATTATAACTTTGAAAAAAGAGCCTGGATGAAAATATCCTACAATGGTATTAGTCCTTGTACTAGGGTAAAAGATAATGAGTGTTTATTTTTTTCATGTATTAGCAATATTTCTATAATGATATTCTTAAAAAAGTATTCATATTTGAAAAATAAAAATGGCATACTATACACCAGAGTAAAAGTTTTTTAAGTCAAGGACAATGTATACAGCACAAATTCAGCTGTCACATACTGTATATTAACTGAATTATCCATAAATGTAGAATTCAATCAAATATATTTTTCATAAATAGCATAATGAACTGAAGTCGTTTCTCTTTCCACTTAATTATCTGTAATACATTCCTCAAGTGGCCATATATCAACATTTATTTAATGCTAAAAATTAAAACTCAAGTTGTATTTTACTGCATTCCTTAAACATTCTGAATTCTGTTAAAAGAAAAAAGAGCATTTTCCAGACAATATCTCCAAAAAATAGCATTTGAGTTTATGTAACTTACTGAGTTAGGTGTTCATGCTAGAAAAAAAGCTGCTTTGATTTTTTTCATTTAATTTTAATGATTTTGAATGCCAGCCTTGAGAAATATTTCCATATTGTTTAAATTTTGTTTCTTAAAATAGTTCAATTGAAAATGAACTATAAATAAAGGACATTATTGAATCAACTGGCAAAAGTGGAATATGGATGGTAGATTGTTGATAAATTTGCTGAAACTGCTAACTACTCTGGTTATACAACATAATATCCTTGTCTTAACAAATATGCACCTTGTTCTCAGTATTCAGGACAAAAAATATTGTATGTATATATTTAAAGTGGAAGGGCTAATGATAAAGCCAATGGGGCAAAATATTAATGACAAGTAAATCTGGGTAAAGGGAATATGGAAATACTACTCTTATTCATGAAAGTTTTCTTTCAAAGTATTAGTATTTCCAAATAAATTATTTAAAACAAAACATAAATTTGCTGGCTGGGTGCAGTGGCTCACGCCTGTAATCCCAGCACTTTGGGAGGCTGAGGTGGGTGGGTCACTAGAGGCCAGGAATTTGAGACCAGCCTGGCCAACATGGCAAAACCCTGTCTCTACTAAAAATAGAAAAAATTAGCCAGGCATGGTGGCACATGCTTGTAATCCCAGCTGCTTTGGAGGCTGAGGCAGGAAAATCGCTTGAATCCAGGAGGCAGAGGTTGCAGTGAGCGGAGATTGCACCACTGCATTCCAGCCAGAGTGACAAGAGTGAGGTTCCGTCTAAAAAAAACCCAAAAAACAGAAAAACAAACAAAAAAACCCCACACAAATTCACATAAAACCGTGAGCTATTAACTTTTCTAAGTATTAAATAACATCATTTATTTGGTGGAAAATAAGGTTCTCCAAACAGTTTTAACAAGCTTTCTGAATCACACGTTCAGACTCACATACAACCCTTTGTATAAATATACTTTAAAATAGCTTTAAAGAGGCACTTGCGTGATGCCCATGGTTTTTATGCTGCTCTGTATATCCATGGAGGTAATCCCAGGATGGTCCGGACAGATGTTGGGGTGGTCGGGGAAGAATAAGGGCAGGTGCTCACAACAGCAGGAGCAGTTTTACTTCTATGTGTGTGTTTGCATATTGGATTGTGTAAGATTTAATTGAAATAGGTTCTGTTCATAAAAAACAAAAAATGAGTCTGAAAACCACCAATCTATCTGAACACCCAAGTGATGCTTAGACTTATTTTCACATTTCTACTAAATGGTTCATCAACCATGTCTAAAACCATTAGCTGATAGGGAATCATTATCTCCTGAGGCTGCCCATAACTTTGGACTATTAGATTTCAGTTAACCATGAGAGTTAACAAACTTTTCCCTCCTACAGCTTCCACTCCTTGGTCTTGGTTTACTTCCTGGGGTCGTGCAGAATAGATCTAGCCCCACTTCCACAAGACAATTCTCTAGATTTTAAGATTAATATCATACTTTTTTTTTTTTAACATCTTTTCTTTCCCATATCATCTTAAGACACTCTCCACTGAATATGCTTACACCAAGAATTAAGTGCAATATTCCCAGGAAGGCCTAATCTGTGGGTATCATCACAAAATATGCCATTCTTACTCAAAATAGCACACACATACTAGGATAAATTACCATTTACCTGTTTTTCTGTTACTCAAGTGACACTGCTGACTCACACTGGGTTTATTGTTGATTATAATCTGTCTTACCTATGCTGCTTCAAAACTGTGTCTCTCCCATCTTTTACTTATACAGTCGAATTTTTAACCACAAGGGTGGCACATGCATTTATTTTATCACAGTTTCTTGAGTCAGTCCATTTTCTACAATCTTTTGAAATCTCCTTGGATTCTAATTCTACCATCCACAAGTCTTACAGAATTCCTAGCTTTTTATCACTGACACATTTCATTAGTATGTATTTTACCACTTTATCTAGGTCAATAAAAATATTGAACAGGGCAAAGCTGAGAAGATACCTAAAACTAGCAGACTCTCCATAGGTAGTCAATGCCCTACTGGTCATTATTGTTTTAGGTATACGTAAGCTTACATTTCCCCTTTTAATCCCTAACAACAATCATAATACATTAAATTTGCTTCAATAAATAATGTTAAGTATCATTTGTATTTGGGAATCCTATCAATGATAGATTATAGTAATTACTGCTTTTTAAATTTAAGTATTCATAATCTACTTCTGTAATAATTTACTTTAGATTTTTAGTCAGAATCAAAATTATTATTACCAAGCATTAGCTCACAGCGTTTGCTTCTAACTTTGAAAACAGAAACTATGTTGTCTGACTCAATTTCTGTTCTTCAACCTGTCTCATTCTCTTCCATCACTGAAGAAATAGAGTGATCCCACTGGTGAACTGTCTTAGCAACCTGGGGCATTATGTAGTGTAAGTGATCCTCTACCAAGTGCCATTTTGCCATCCCTAGGGAATACCTGACAATGTGCAAAGACATTTTTGGTTGTGAAGCCCGGGAGTACTACTGGCACCTAGTGACACAAGCCAGGGATGCGGCTAAGCACACTATAGTGCACAGGACAGACCCTTATAACAAAAAATTACCTGTTCCAAATGCCAATGTAGTGCTGAGACTGAAAACCCTGATGTAATCTATTCTTCTGCTTATGCAAACAACCCATTTTCTACATTCATAGCAGAGGAGTTTCAGAATAAAAACATCCATTATAAAAACTTCATGGGTGTGCTTATAATCGCAGCCCTTTGGGAGGCCAAGGTGGGTGGATCACAAGGTCAGGAATAGAGACCATCCTGGCTAACACAGTGAAAACCCCATCTCTACTAAAAATACAAAAAAATAGCCGGGTGCGGTGGTGGGCGCCTATAGTCCCAGCTACTCGGGAGGCTGAGGCAGGAGAATCGCTTGAACCCAGAAGGCGGAGGTTGCAGTGAGCCAAGATCCCACCACTGCACTCCAGCCTGGGTGACAGAGCAAGACTCCGTCTCAAACAAAAACAAAAAAAAAAAAAACAAACTAAAAAAAGACTTCGTGAGTGAATCCATAATACTGCTGAAAGGCTTCAGTGATCACAAGTATTTTACAAATGACTTAACCCTTCTGGGCCCCAGCTTCATCTGTAAAAACTCAATGAAAATAAATACATTTCACAGGGTTATGAGGATCAAATGAGACAATGTGCAAGTATTTAATAAATGGTAAAGCATAATGATTTACATTTAGGCTGTAACTAAACAATCCTACACAGAAAGGAAATACAGGATTATATATCTGCTTCTTTGTAGCTTTTAACTACTAATCTTGGTTCTATGCGGCATATCAACATAGAATAAATCTACACCTTCTTTGAATACAAACACCATCTCTCTGTACATCTTCTTTCAAATTAAATATTTCTAATTCCTGCAACAGTTTCCATCTATTTTACCTGAGTTTTTACCCTATTGGAGGTAAGTAAAAAATGCCTTTCTATATGTGCCACATGTTGAAATCTTATTCTTTCTCTCAAGCCACAGCTCAAATGCCACTCCTAAGATAAACTATTTCCTTATCCCCACTGCTGAAGGTAAACTCTCTCTCCTGTCTCCTCCTGAAGACACAGTACTTTATCCATGCTGCTCATGGGGAGGCAATGTGGTCAGTGAGACAAACTGGACTTTAGAGGCAGACCATCCAAGTTCAAATCCTAGTTCTCATTCATGGTAGCACTGTGAAAACTAGCTTTAAAGATTCATTTTCTTCATCTATAAAACGAGGCTATCACCCTTTTAAAAGACAGGGTTTTGCTGTTGCCCAGGCTGCAGTGTGGTGGCACAATCATGGCTCAATGCAGCTTCAACTCCTGGGCTCAAGGGGCAGCCCAGCTAATTTTTATTTTTTTGGTAGAGATGGATCTTGCTATGATGCCCAGGCTGGTCTTGAACTCTTGGCCTGAAGAGACCCTTCTGCTTCAGCCTCCCAAAGGACTCAGATATACAGGGTGAACCGCCATGCCTGGCGATCACCCATTTTTTAAATAGGGCTGCTGGGATTAAGATGACAGGTACAAGATCTTACAGAGTGCCTAGTATACAACTGGAATTAAGTAAGTGTTTATTATCTTCCCTACTTCTCCTTCTCATTTCCTGTTTTAAATTACATTTTATGTGCATCTTATCTTCTCTGAGATTACATGCTTCTTGATGGCAGAATTAGGCTGGTATCCCTTTTCTCCTTTTCATTTCTTATAGCTTTCCTCCTTTGTAATCACAATTCCAAGGGCTAAAACTTAATGGTGCTCATAATATGAATATGATATGCCTCCTTGCTTTTCAACCACCTCTGTCACTCTACTCTCGGTGTTCTCCAGTCTGTCAATTTATCCTTAATTTCCTAAAGCTCAACCTAAAATTGGTTTACTCATAAAACTGCATGAATCTACAATCTCATCAACAAACAATAAAAAAACAAATACTACAATGAAAGAGAAGATTCTCAGCATGATCACTCTAAAAAGTTCCTCAATACATCTTATGTTCAGTGAATTCAACTCTAGATCACTGTAAGATCAAGATCTGTCCTACTGAACTTTGAATCCTTAAAGAGACTACTATTATTTGGCAGACTACAAATAACTAGTTACTATAATAAGTGTCAGTCTAATTTTGAAACCATTGTTCAAGCAAAGGCACAATGCCACTGGATTTTTGCCAAAGGATTTTTGCCAAAAGAACAAAGGTAGAGTGTTGTTGTCTTCCTTTAGAAGAAATGAATTTGCACTAATGGACTTAAACCGGTTCATCTCTGCAGGGTCAGTGCATATTCATAATCCTCAAAGATGGCTGCCTGGGCCATAAGAACACAAATCAGATCACTGAACAGAGAAAAGTAAGCTAATAGGAATGAAAGTAATAATCTGGGTCTTTACATGTATGTCTGTAATTTAAAATGATTACCACCTCTATCACAGTGTTCAGAAGTATCAAGGTATATTCTTTCATCTTATTAATATGAAGATAAAAAATAGCCAAGTCCGGTTAAAAAAAAATTTTTTTTCATCTCAGTGCAGTCTGAGAAAAAGTCTAGATTCTATAAATCAAAAGTAAATGTTTTCCCCCAAACAGTTTTCTGATAATCACTCTGCATCTTTTATAAACCAGGAGCTGTAAGAAGATTATAATGATTTACAGATACATCATGGAGTTCACAACTCTAGAAATTATTACCTGTTTGCTTTTACTAACTTCATTTTCACAAATGGAATGTTCTTCAAGAATCACTCTGCAATGTGTTATTAAACTTGTTGTCTGTGAGGTTGATAAAGGATCCCAAAGGAATTCTACAAAGTCTGAAAAAAGTATTTAAGTGGTGAACAATTTATTTACTAGATTGTTTTGCTTCTAATATATAAATAATCAAGACCTTTAACAAAAACTGCTACCCTCCTTATTCAGTTTAAGATCTATGGCAATTATTACCATTACATATTTGCATACATCCTCAATTTCCTTGTTTTCCTTGGGCTTTGTTAAACTCCTCCAGCTAAACTACAACTCTTTATAGTTAAGTTCACCTTGTCACTGAGTCTCTGCCTGCAACCACGCGAGTGAGCCTGCCTCTCTCTCTCTCTCTCTCTCTCTGTCTCTCAGGTCCATTCGCTCTCCCTCTCACCTAGATGATTAATTCATACCTTCTCCCTTCTCTGTTATCTCACTCTCAGTTGATGGACTTTTTCCTTCTAGTTGATTATTTCCTACTTTATTTTTTCTACACCCTTGCTTTTTCTTTCAGCTAATTACTTCCTAATTTGCTAAGAAAATAGAAGCAATCAGAAAAGCAGCACTACAAAGTTCCTACCACAGCATCTACATACCTACCTGCATCTGTGCCCATATGCTCCAACTTGTCTCCTATTCCTATGGATGAGGCACCAACACTCTCACCACGTCAGGCGAACTGTTTATTTTGTGGATGAGATCCCAAGACTTTTGGCTTAGTCTAAGATCCTGTTCCCAGAACTCTGTCCTTCCGCTGTGGTATTGACATCACTTGTACTAGATTTTTTCCATTACCCTACAAACAACTATTTATCTTGTATTAAAAATAATCCCCCTCGGTGTAAAGAGGTTGCCAAGATGGCCGAATAGGAACAGCTCCAGTCTGCAGCTCCCAGCGAGATCAACGCAGAAGGCAGGTGATTTCCAACTGAGGTACCCAGTTCATCTCATTGGGACTGGTTGGACAGTGGGTACAGCCCACAGAGGGTGAGTCAAAGCAAGGTGGGGTGTTGTCTCACCCGGAAGCACAAGGGGTTGGGGAATTCTCTCCCCTACCTAAGGGATGCCATGAGACACTGTGCCAGGAAGAACAGTGCACTCCAGCCCAGATACTGCATTTTTCCCATGGTCTTTGCAACTGGCAGACCAGGAGATTTCCTCCAGTGCCTACCCCACCAGGGCCCTGGGTTTCGTGCACAAAACTGGGTGGCTGTTTGGGCAGACACCAAACTAGCTGCAGGTGTTTTGTTTTGGTTTTTCTTTCATACCCCAGTGGCACCTGGAACGCCAGAGAAACAGAACCATTCACACCCTAGAAAAGGGGCTGAAGACAGGGAGCCAAGTAGTGTGGCTTGGTGGGTCCCACTCCCACAAAGCCCAGCAAGCTAAGATCCACTGACTTGAAACTCTTGCTGACAGGAGTCTGAGTCCAACCTGGGATGCTCCAGCTTGGTGGGGGGAGGGGTGTCCGTCATTGCTGAGGCTTCAGTAGCTGGTTTATGCCTCACAGTGTAAACAAAGCCCCCAGGAAGTTCGACCTGGGCAGAGCCCACCACAGCTCAGCAAGGCCGCTGTGGCCAGACTGCCTCTCCAGACTATTCCTCTCTGGGCAGGGCATCTCTGAAAAAAGGCAGCAGCCCCAGTCAGGGACATAAGAGATAAAAACCCCCATCTTCCATGGACAGAGCACTTGGGGGAAGGGGTGGCTGTGGGTGCAGCTTAAGCTGACTTAAACGTCCTTGCCTAATAGTTCTGAAGAGAGCAGTGGTTCTCCCAGCACAGCGTTTGAGTTCTGATAAGGGACAGACTGCCTCCTCAAGTGGATCCCTGACCTCCATTTATCCTGACTGGGAGATACCTCCCAGTAGGGGCCAACAGACACCTCATAGAGGAGAGCTCTGGCTGGCATCTGGCGGGTGCCCCTCTGGGACGAAGCTTCCAGAGGAAGGAACAGGTAGCAATCTTTGCTGTTCTGCAGCCTCTGCTGGTGATACCCAGGCAAATAGGGTCTGGAGTGGACCTCCAGCAAACTCCAGCAGACCTGCAGCAGAGAGGCCTGTTAGAAGCAAAACTAACAAACAGAAAGGAATAGTATCAGCATCAACAAAAAGGACATACGATAAGAGACCCCATCCGAAGGTCACCAATATAAAAGACCAAAGGTAGATAAATCCACAAAGATGGGGAGAAACCAGCGCAAAAAGGCTGAACATTCCAAAAACTAGAAAGACTGTTCTTCTTCAAAGAATCACAACTCATCACCAGCAAGGGAACAAAACTGGATGGAGAATGAGTTGGACGAATTGACAGAAGCAGGCTTCAGAAGGTGGGTAATAAACTCCTCCGAGCTAAAGGAGCATGTTTTAACCCAATGGAAGGAAGTTAAGAACCTTGAAAAAAGGTTAGAGGTATTGCGAACTAAAATAGCCAGTTTAGAGAAGAATATAAATGACCTGATGAATCTGAAAAACACTGCAGGAGAACGTCATGAAGCATACACATGCATCAATAGCTGAATCAATCAAGTGGAAGACAGGATATCAGAGACTGAAGATCACCTCAGTGAAATAAAGTGAGAAGACAAGTTTAGAGAAAAAAGAGTGAAAAGAAACAAACAAAGTCTCCAAGAAATATGGGACTATGTGAAAAGACAAAATCTATGTTTGATTGGTATACCTGAAAGTGATGGGGAGAATTGAACCAAGTTGGAAAACACTCTTCAGGATATTATCCAGAAGAACTTCCCCAATCTAGCAAGGCAGGTCACTATTCAAATTCAGGAAATACAGAGAACACCACAAAGATACTCCTTGAGAAGAGCAACCCCAAGACACATAATTGTCAGATTCACCAAGGTTGAAAGGGAAGAAAAAATGTTAAGGGCAGTCAGAAAGAAAGGTCGGGTTACCTACAAATGGAAGCCCATCAGACTAACAGCGGATCTACCTGCAGAAACCCTACAAGCTACAAGAGACTGGGGGCCAATATTCAACATTCTTAAATGAATTTTCAATCCAGAATTTCATATCCAGCCAAACTAAGCTTCATAAGCAAACGAAAAATAAAATCCTTTACAGACAAGCAAATGCTGAGAGATTCTGTCACCACCAGGCCTGACTTACAAGAGCTCCTGAAGAAAGCACTAAACATGGAAAGGAACAACTGGTACCAGACACTGCAAAAACATACCGAATTGTAAAGACCATCAACGCTACGAAGAAACTGTATCAACTAATGCGCAAAATGACCAGCTAGCATCATAATGACAGGATCAAATTCACACATAACAATATTAACTTTAAATGTAAATGGTCTAAAAGCCCCAATTAAAAGACACAGACTGGCAAATTGGATAGAGTCAAGATCTATCAGTGTGCTGTATTCAGGAGACCCATTTCATGTACAGAGACACACACAGGCTCAAAATAAAGGGATGGAGGAACATTTAACAAGCAAATGGAAAGCAAAAAAAGAAAAAAGAAAAGAAAAAAAGCAGGGTTGCAGTCCTAGTCTCTGATAAAACAGACTTTAAACCAACAAAGATCAAAAGAGACAAAGAAGGGTATTACATAATGGTAAAGGGATCAATGCAACAAGAGCTAACTATCCAAAATAAGTATGCATCCAATACAGGAGCACTCAGATCAGATTCATAAAGCAAGTTCTTAGAGACCTACAAAGAGACTTAGACTCCCACACATTAATAGTGGGAGACTTTAACATCCCACTGTCAATATTAGACAGATCAACGAGACAGAAAATTAACAAAGATATCCAGGACTTGAACTCACCTCTGGACCAAGCAGACCTAATAGACATCTACAGAACTCTCCACCCCAAGTCAACAGAATATACATTTTTCTTAGCACTACAATGCACTTATTCTACAATTGACCACATAATTAAACACTCCTCAGCAAACGCAAAAGAACGAAAATCATAACAGTCTTTCAGACCACAGTGCAATCAAATTAGAACTCAAGATTAAGAAACTCACTCAAAACTGCAGAACTACATGGAAACTGAACAACCTGCTCCTGAATGACTACTGCGTAAATAACGAAATGAAGGCAGAAATAAAGATGTTCTTTGAAACCAATGAGAACAAAGACACAATGTACCAGAATCTCTGGGACACACTTAAAGCAGTGTGTAGAGGGAAATTTACAGAACTAAATGCCCGCAAGAGAAAGCAGGAAAGACCTAAAATCAACATCCTAACACCACAATTAAAAGAACTAGAGAAGCAAGAGGAAACAAACTCGAAAGTGAGCAGAAGACAAGAAATAACTAAGATCAGAGAAGAACTGAAGGAGATAGAGACATGAAAAACCCTTCAAAAAAATCAATGAATCCAGGAGGTGGTTTTTTGAAAAGATCAACAAAATAGATATACCGCTAGCCAGACTAATAAAGAAAAGAGAGAAGAATCAAATAGACGCAATAAAAAATGATAAAGGGGGTATTAACACCAATCCCACAGAAATACAAACTACCATCAGAGAACACTATAAACACCTCTATGCAAATAAACTAGAAAATCTAGAAGAAATGGATAAATTCCTGGACACTTACACACGCCCAAGACTAAACCAGGAAAAAGCCGAATCCTTGAATAGAACAATAAGAAGTTCTGAAATTGAGGCAGTAATTAATAGCCTACTAACCAAAAAAAGTCCAGGACCAGACGATTCACAGCCGAATTCTACCAGAGATACAAAGAAGATCGGGTACCATCCCTTCTGAAACTATTCCAAACAATAGAAAAAGAGGGAATCCTCCCTAACTCATTTTACGATGCCAGCATCATCCTGATATCAAAGCCCGGCAGAGACACAACAAAAAAAGAGAATTTTAGACCAATATCCCTGATGAACATTGATGCAAAAATCCTCAGTAAAATACAGGCAAACCGAATCCAGCAGCACATTAAAAAGCTTATTCACCACGATCAAGTGGGCTTCATCCTTGGGATGCAAGGCTGGTTCAACATACGCAAATCAATAAACGTAATCCATCATATAAACAGAACCAAAGACAAAAACCACATGATTATCTCAACAGATGCAGAAAAGGCCTTTGACAAAATTCAACAGCCCTTCATGCTAAAAACTCTCAATAAACTAGATACTGAGGGAACGCATTTCAAAATGATAAGGGCTACTTATGACAAATCCGCAGCCAATATCACACTGAATGGGCAAAAACTGGAAGCATTGCCTTTGAAAACTGGCACAAGACGAGGATGCCCTCTTTCACCACTCCTACTCAACACAGTATTGGAAGTTCTGGCCTGGGCAATCAGGCAAGAGAAAGATATAAAAGGGATTTGATTAGAAAAAGAGGAAGTCAAATTGTCTCTGTTTGCACAGGATATGATTGTATATTTAGAAAACCCCATTATCTCAGCCCAAAATTTCCTTAAGCTGATAAGCAACTTCAGCAAAGTCTCAGGATACAAAATCAATGTGCAAATATCACAAGCATTGCTATATACCAACAACAGACAAACAGAGAGCCAAATCATAGTGAACTCACATTCACAATTGCTATAGAGAGAATAAAATACCCAGAAATACAACTTACAAGGGATGTGAAGAACCTCTTCAAGGAGAACTACAAGCCACTGCTCAAGGAAGTAAGAGACGACACAAACAAATGGAAAAACATTCCTTCCTCATGGATAGGAAGAATTAATATCGTGAAAAAGGCCATACTGCCCAAACTAATTTATAGCTTCAATGCTATCCCCATCAAGCTACCATTAACTTTCTTCACAGAATTGGAAAAAACTACTTTAAATTGCATATGGAACCAAAAAAGAGCCAGCATAGCCAAGACAATCCTAAGCAAAAAGAACAATGCTGGAGGCATCATGCTACCTGACTCCAAACTATACTACAAGCCCACAGTAACAAAAACAGTATGGTACTGGTACCAAAACAGATATATAGACCAATGGAACAGAACAGAGGCTTCAGAAATAACATCACACATCTATAACCATCTGATCTTTGACAAACCTGACAAAAACAAGCAATGGGGAAAGGATTCCCTATCTAATAAATGGTGTCAGGAAAACTGGCTAGCCATTTGCAGAAAGCTGAAACTGGAAAATTCCTTACATCTTCTTATACAAAAATTAACTCAAGATGGATTAAAGACTTAAATGTAAGACCTAAAACCATAAAAACCCTAGAAGAAAATCTAGGCAATACCATTCAGGACACAGGCGTGGACAAAGGCTTCATGACTAAAACACCAAAAGAAAAGGCAACAAAAGCCAAAATAGACAAATGAGATCTAATTAAACTAAAGAGTTTCTGCACAGCAAAAGAAACTATCATCAGAGTGAACAGGCAACCTACAGAATGGGAGAAAATTGTTGTAATTTATCCATGGGACAAAGGGCTAATATCCAGAATCTACAAAGAACTCAAACAAATTCACAAGAAAAAAAAAAAAAACCATCAAAAGTGGGCAAAGGATATGAACGGACACTTCTCAAAAGAAGACATTTATGCAGCCAAAAAACATATGAAAGAAAAGCTCATCATTGCTGGTCATTAGAGAAATGCAAATCAAAACCACATTCAGATATCATCTCATGCCAGTTAGAATAGTGATCGTTAAAAAGTCAGGAAACAACAGATGCTGGAGAGGATGTGGAGAAACAGAAACACTTTTACACTGTTGGTGGGAGTGTAAATTAGTTCAACCACACTGAAAGACAGTGTGGCAATTCCTGAAGGATCTAGAACTAGAAATACGATTTGACCCAGCGATCCCATTACTGGGTATATACCCAAAGGGTTGTAAATCATGCTACTATAAAGACACATGCACACGTATGTTTACTGCAGCACTATTCACAATAGCAAAAACTTGGAACCAACACAAATGCCCATCAATGATAGACTGGATAAAGAAAATGTGACATATATACACCACGGAATACTATGCAGCCATAAAACAGGATGAGTTTATGTTCTTTGCAGGGACATGGATGAAGCTGGAAACCATCATTCTCAGCAAACTAACACAAGAACAGAAAACCAAACACCGCATATTCTCACTCATAAGTGGGAGTTGAACAATGAGAACACATGGACACAGGGAGGGTAACATCACACACCGGGGTCTGTCAGGGGTTGGGGGGCTAGGGGTGGGATAGCATTAGGAGAAATACCTAATGTAGATGACAGGTTGATGAGTGCAGCAAACACTATGGCACATGTACAGCTATGTAACAAACCTGCACCTTCTGCACATGTACCCCAGAACTTAAAAGTATAATAATAAACAAACCAACCAACAAAAAATCCCCCTTAGCCCTACTTCCTCCTCTAGTATTGTTCCATTTCCTTCCTATCTTTTATGACAAAATTCCTCGAAGTACTATCTAAACTTCTATCTCCAGTTTCTCTCTTCCTACTTGTTCTTGATTTCCCTTAAATTAGGCCTTATCTCTTATTGGTCTACCTAATGCACTCTTAGCAAATCACAGATGACATTCACATAGCAAACTCCAGTGATTGATTCTAATCCTCATCTGACTTATCATCAACAATTCCAACAGTTGACCCTTCCTTCTTCCTGGAAACACTGTCTTTACTTGGCTTCCAAAATACCACACTCTTAGTTTCCTGCCCATCTCTCTGGTCTTTGCTGTCTGCTTGTCATCTCTTTGACTTCCAAGTGCTATAGTATCTCAGGATTCAGGTCACTTACCTTCTCTTTTCTGTTTCGGCATTCAAAGTCAATTTTATACATTAAATGCCATCAATAAATGTCATGTGGATAAACTCCAAACTTACACCTTCCAACTGGACCGCCTCCTTTAAGACTCATGTATTCAACAACGGACTTGACATTTCCATTTAGATAACAGATACTTCAAACTCAACAAGTCTCAAACTGAGCTGCTAATACAGCTCCCCACATTAAGCTTACTCCTGTCAGACTTTTTCATTTCAGGAAATGGCACCTCTGTCCTTCCAGTTGCTCAGAACAAAACCCATGGACCCATTCTTGATTCCTCTCTTTCTCTCTTGCCGGACAATCAATACATTAGCACATTCTGTTAGTGCTATCTTTGAAATATATGTAGAATTCAACCACTATTGGGACTCAGTCAGTGTTAGTTTCTCACAAAGCTACTTATTTGTGGGATTGTTTCATCATTAGTATTTAGATTTTTGAAGCAGAGTGCTTAAATTAGGTACATCCATTCTATCATTAGTAGAGCTAGTTAAAAATAGTAACTTTCTAATACACCCCACAAATGCACCATAAGTTTCGCTGAAATAAAATCTTGAAAGTTTTTATGTTTTACTTTTTAAAAATTTTAAATTTATAAATAGAGATGGGGTTTCACCATGTTGCCCAGGCTGGTCTGGAACTCCTGTGTTCAAGTGATCCTCCCGCCTTGGCCTTGCAAAGTGCTGGGATTACAGGCATGAGCCACTGCACCCCAGCCAAAATCTTATAATCAAGTTGCCTAAGAAGCAATTATAAGGTTGATTGCTTCCAACTTCTAGGCTGGGCATGGTGACTCATGCCTATAACCCCAGTGCCTTGGGAAGCTGAGGGGAAGGGTCTCTTGAGGCCAGGAGTTTGAGACTAGCCTGCGCAACACAGCGAGACCTTGTCTCTAAAAAAATCTTTTAAAAATTAGCTGGGTGTGGTGGCATGCGCCTGGAGTCCCAGCTAATTGGGAGGCTGAGGCAGGAGGATCACTTGCCCCCAGGAATTCAAGACTGCAGTGAGCAAAGTTCGCGCCACTGTACTCCAGTCTGGGTGACAGAGGAAGACCTTCTCTCAAAAACAAAAACACATAAAAAATTAAATAAGAGTTTTGCAGTCTTTGCTGTCAAATTTCTTTCTCAGTGACACAGTGAAATGGATCCTTATCAAGTACACAGGTAAAACAAAAGACCTCACGCTAAGGTCTGAAGCACAAGCATTAATGTTAAGTGCTCATAGTTGCTAATGGCAAATGTGAGTGAAATGAAGCAAAATTTTTTTTTTTTTTGAGATGGAGTTTCACTCGTCACCCAGGCTGGAGTGCGATGGCACGATCTCACCTCACTGCAACCTCCACCTCCCAGGTTCAAGCAATTCTCCTGCCTCATCCTCCTGAGTATCTGGGATTACAGGTGCCTGCCACCATGCCCAGCTAATTTTTTTGTATTTTTAGTAGAGATGAGGTTTCACCATGTTGGCCAGGCTGGTCTTGAACTCTTGACCTCAGGTGATCCACCCACCTTGGCCTCACAGAGTGCCGGGATTACAGGTGTGAGCCACCACTACCACATGAAGCAATGTTTTTTAAAGAAAAGGATAAGAAACAGAATTAGAGAAGGGAAAAAAAGGACACATGTAGTATGGATGGAAATATGCTAAAAAATGACTGAAGTGTCACAAAAGCAGCAGGAATGCCACAAACACTAAACTGACTTTAAATACTGAGTGACTGAAGGTAAATAGAAAAGAGAAGGTAAGTGACCTGAATCCTGAGATACCGTAGCACTTGGAAGTCAAAGAGGTGACAAGCAGACAGCAAAGACCAGAGAGGTGGGCAGGAAACTAAGAGTGTGGTATTTTGGAAGCCAAGTAAAGACAGTGTTTCCAGGAAGAAAGCAGGGTCAACTGTTGGAACTGCCAATGATACATCAGATGAGGATTAGAATCAATCTGAGTATTAGCTGTTTGGTAGCCAACCACCTGTACAAACACGTATTTTTTAACCAGCTTACATTTGACAGCTCTTGAGTTTTACTACATATAACATTTCCTTGTGTTTAAAAACTTATGAAAAAACTTTGTGAATATAACAGAAATTAACAACCTTATATACTCTGTCAGAAAATAATTTAATTTTACCAAGGTTACGAAGCAGTACCTGTAAGTCGGGGAATAATTGTTTTGTTGATGATTGTAGACAAGATTTTTTTATCTGAACTACTTTCCTTCTTTGAATCTTCTACACTGCTATCCATAAATTCTTCTACAGATTTGAACCATGGCATCTCTTTTAAACCTGTGGAATCCAACTTACAAAGAAAATGATAAAAGTTATAAAGAAATCCTTCAACATTAGTGTATTTTAAAATAGTTTTTGTTTTTTTTCAATAATCACCAGAGCTTTTCTAAGGATCAGAGGAGACTAATTCCCTGTTTTAACACTAGACCACCAAGGCTAGGCAGGATGGCAGGACGGCATGACTGAGATGTGGTGTCTAAGTAGCATAACAAGAAGCCGCATTTCATGCATTCAATTACACAACAAACACTCAACAACCACCTAGTGTGTGCCAGAGCCTTTAGAGCCTACCACGTGGCAAGTACTCTGCTAGGAGCAAAATATACATTTGTTAGGCACTTGAAATAGCCATGGAATTTGTTTATTAAAAAATTCATCCACTTCAAGCAAAGTTTATTTCTGGCCCCTTCAATTCCCATAAGCATAAATATGTAATTTGTATATGATTTAGTTAAAGGTTCTATTACACAGTAGACAGTTGCTGAGTTCATATTTCTTTTTCTTTCCTTTTAGTCAGTCAAATTCACTGAATAGAGTTTATATTTCTTAACTTGGGATCTAAATATCTGCAATTTCTAGCTCCTGAACTAGTATTTCCCTTTATACTTTTATGAAACACCTTTCCCTTTCTGATTCATCCTGTTTATCCCATAAACCCTTCAAAGGCTTGCATTCCACCTCCTCAATGCAACCCTAAGCAACTCCTCCCAGTATGTCATCTCCAATTCAAGAATTCTTGAAACAAGGTTTTTATATCTACTTTCTCCAAACCCAACAGTACCTTATACTTTCTGGGAGGATTTTAAATTTAATGTACAAGAAGCTAAAAAAAAATGTGTTTGCTTTACTGATATTAATGATGCTCAGCCTAAAAGTCAAGTGACAGCCAAGAAAAGAAGAATGTAGCTGAAAGCACACATTTTCTGACTATTGTTCCAAAGCGCTAAATTTCAGCTCCAACTCTAACGGTAAGGTATTTAATAGCTAACATAATAGTAAGGGAATTTAAGTATACTAATGTAATCAGGATAAATTTTCACATGTGAAGCATAAATACCTTAAGAGGATTCCAGTCAATCAACTGAACTCGTATTAGGGGATTTAAAAGCTTTGGTATGCACAAACTAATGAAAGCTTCATAATAGGAGTCAGGAAACTTTTCTCGCCATTGCTGAAACTTCAACAAAATATTCTGGATGTTACAAAAATCATCATGCACATCTTCAAAAACTTTCTTCTGTTTCTGTAAAATGTCACCTGTAAACAAAATAAGTATCTTTATGCATTTTAAGTTGTGAACTTTAAGTATGCTTCCTTAAAAACACGGTCATGCCAGACTGTAATCAATTGACCTAAAATTCCATCCTTTTATATTAACATAAATTTTTATTAAAAAAATCACTTTAGCAACAAAGTAATAATATCAACACTAAAAAAAGCTACCATATATACCCCTGCTATATGTCAGCAGAAATACATTAATCTCATTTTACCATCGTAGCTATCTTCCCTACCATATAGGTATAGTCTACTTATTTACAGACAAAACAACATCAAATTTAGGGAGGACAAGACATTTGTCTAAGACTACACAGAATAAAATCTCCCTCAGAACCCAAATTTATTTAAATCCAGAGCCCAGAATTTTTCAACTATACGCATCTTATCTTCTCACCATGCTAAAAAGTTTCACCAAATTCAAATATTTTAAGTTAAAAATGACAATCTAGAAACTATGTGTGGTAAAGAAATGAAATGAAGATGTTCACCAGTAATAGGAGAAAGTCTAAGAGAAAAAACTACGAAGATACAAGAATAATCACAATGCTCCTTCCTTCATTTTACTCCATTATTCAGAGGTAGGAAGAGTGTCTTACAGAGGAAAAATGTGTTTCATTTTTTCCGAAATTAACCAACTGTTTTATATAGCTTACGTATTTATTAAGGGCAATCACAGCAAAGCGTTTCTCACCATTTCAAAATTCAAACCATGATATATTAGAAACTTGGTAACTGACCTTGGCTTTTTTGGAAGTCAATCATCTCTGCTGAAGGCAGTTCATCATCACTAGATGTCCCTTCCTGATGGTTACAATTCCCAGAAAGCATCCTTGCTTGTCTTCTTTTTGTCCTATATTTTGCAACAAACCACAAAAAGTAAATAGATCTTGCTGAAAATAAATGCTTAAATTTTTTTTTTTTTACCTCTTGCTGAAAATAAGTAATGTTATCATTTATTTTAAATGGTCAAAAATATATCAGTGCACAATTTCATTAATATTTTTGACATTTTTAGTTTCATTAGTTTGAATTGGTGGTTCTCCATTTGTTTTTTTGTTTTTTCTTGTAAGACATTCCCAATTAGGACATTCCCATGGGCTAACCAGATTCTGAAGAGGGGGTAATTATAATTAGGAACGGTTTCTAGTTACAAGCAATTCCCAGCCTGATAAATGTCATTTTACCCATTCCTTTTAACTGATCCAAATATACCAATGTGTCTTTAAAGCAGTCAAGGATGGTTTTACTAAATTTTGCTTTTATTTTTATTTTCACAAATTAATAACGTATATCAGGTATACCTAATGACATCATGTGGTTAATTACATTTAAGTAGTGAAAAGTACTTGCTCAATGATGCTTTCTTTAAATCTTCACTTTATATAGGTACCTTCGAGATTCAATCTCTTCTAAAATCCACTGAGTTTTTTCATCTACTGCTAAGTTTCCACTTGTGGACGTTTCATCTTTGCCTGTTAATAAATAAAATTGACTTCATACTACAAATTCTCAAAAGAAAAAAGTAAAATGCTTTGAAAATAAAGGTAACATCATGGATGTATAAACATATATGCATAAGTAAATACACAAATATGCTTAAATTTTGCAATTAATTTTGCAATGAAATTTCAGTGTTAACTCTTTATTGCAATATTAACAGGCCTGAGGTTCATTGGCCTAAAAATGTATTTTGGCTGGTGAAAATGTTAACCTAAAAATGTACTTTGGCTGGTGTACTGTTGCTATTGTTGAGAACAGCAGCAAAGTTCTACCAAAAAGTTTCATTTCCTTATATTCTTTTCCAGTAGTTTTTACCAGTTTTTTTCCATAGCCAAATGCAAGAAATATTGGCTTTATCAATACAGGATTCCCCCCCTCCCTTAGAGTGTATCTGCAGGGGATACATTCTAAGAACCCCAGTGGATGCCTGAAACCGCATATAGTACCAAACCCTATTTGTTTTTTCCTCTATATACACAACTATGATAAAGTTTAATTTATAAATTAGGCACAGTAAGAGACTAACAATAGCAATAAAGTAGAACAATGAAAACAATATACTGTAATGTATGTTATATGAATGTTGGGTATCTCTATCTCAAAATATCTTATTGTACTGTACTCATTCATTTTTGGACCATTGTTGACTGAAACTATGGAAAGCAAAACTGCAGATTAGAGGCACTACTGTATTCTATTCACATTACTTCTTATTTTAATATGTAATACCATTATTTATGATCCACTACGGGTTGTGTGTTTTACTGAAAGTCACTTTGCCTTTGCATTTACTAGCTACTTGGTTATGGTCTTTCACTATCTCCTGATAGCACCTTAATCAAAGGAAGATATCTCTGAAAGTACAAAATCAATGCGGATAAAAAAAAAAGGAGGCATCCATATTTTGTATAATGAAATCTTAAAGATAAATCTGTATTGAAACTGACCAGAACCAATCTGTAAAAGGACTTTGAAACTATGAAGTTAGATTTCTGACAGAGTCTAAAGAGTTATGTGAACTTGTCTCAAAACATTCTCTAAATGGCTATGTACATATTCTGTCTGAAATAGTAAATAATTGGAAGTTATGTTTATTTTTTAGTCTTGGACTTAATTTAAAACATTCTTAAGTCCTATTTCTAAACGCTTTGAGTTTTTGGAAGTTGGTGGCTAAAGGGTTTGTGGGAAAATACATGAAAAACATGTTTATAAAAATAAAAATATTTTTATTCTTCACATAATTTAGCTTAATGAATAAGAAATTGTATTGAACAGGAAAAACACTAACGTGATAACTGTTGTAAATACGTTGATTCATGTTTTAATTCATCTTGCCTGCGTTTCATAAAGGTCATAGCTTGTTTTAAAAGGAGTGCATGCATGGATGACTCTATTTCTTGGATGCTGATAATCTGAAATACATATATAAGTAATATTTTGTAGGTCATCGATAATGAAATATATATATACACAAAAGTAATATTTAGAAGATACATAAGCATATTTGTATGCTTAATTCTCAAAGAAACATTCCCAATACTATCACATCTCAAGTATAAAACATTGTGTGCAACAGACCTAGCTGTCAATACTTTTAATATTAAAAATCAGAAAATTGACTTAGTCTACTGGAACTGTTATAATTATCAGAGATAGATAAACTAAATGGGGGCCAGGTGTGGTAGTTTATGCCTGTTATCCCAGCACTTTGGGAGGTGGGCGGATCACCTGAGGTCAGGAGGCTGAGTTCAAGACCAGCCTGGCCAACAGAGCAAAACCCCTTGTCTATCACTAACAATACAAAAATTAGCCAGGCACAGTGTGCCCACCTTCAATCCCAGCTACTCAGGAGACTGAGGAAGGAGAATCACTTGAACCCTGAAGGTGGAAGTTATAATGAGCTGAGATTACGCCACTGTACTCCAGCCTCGGTAACACAGCAAGGCTCTGTCTCAAAAAAAAAAAGAAAAAGAAAAAGAAACTAAATGGGATGGAGTCAGGAACATGCATTAAAGTTTGAGATAGAAGATTTTTTCTGAGATAGAAGAATAGGAAAAAATGAAGGGTACAGATGTTTTCATAGGCTGAGGGTGTGGAAAGTAGGTGGGGGCACTCAAAGCTGGTGAAATTTGAAAAATTGGGGAATGGAGAAAAACTAACCAGAGACAGGTAACAAAGTTGTGATGTGATACAGAAATGAGACTAGTTGAAACTGAAATGCTCCTATTTTGGGGAGCAACAATTCCTCCTACTCCTTTGATACTCCACAGCTGCTGCTATGAATACATTAATGCTCAGGCTGACAAAATTTTAACAGTGTAATTTTTCAAGGAGGAATGAAAAAAGAAAATTACATTGTAAAACTTCAGAAAGTAACTACCAAGTGATAGTAGAAGATAGCCAATTTAAAACAACAATTGGGACAAAGCATCCCATTGTTTAGCAACATTTTCATTATAAACAAAAAATAACGTTTTTTGTTTTTGAGGGCAGTGGCTCAGGCCTATAATCCTAGCACTCTGGGAGGCTGAGACCAGGTAGATTGCCTGAGCTCAGTAGTTCCAGACCAGCTTGGGCAACATGGCGAAACCCCGTTTCTATTAAAAATACAAAAAATTAGCTGGGTATGGTGGTGCACGCCTGTAGTCCCAGCTACTTAGGAGGCTGAGGCACAAGAAGCGCTTGAACCTAGGAGGCAGAGTGCAGTGAGCTGAGATCGTGCTACTACACTCCAGCCTGGGTGACAGAGTGAGACTCTGCCCCCTCTTCAAAAAAATAAATGAAATAAAAATAACAAAAATAATGTGGAAAGTAGAGTATAATTTATTGAAATGGTTAATATATTTTTAAAAGTGGACAACTGAAGGCCCACCCCAATTTAAGAACTTAGTATGCATAAATCAAAAACTAAAAACAAAAATCTCAAAACATCTGAATGTTTAGAGAAAAACCATTACAAACAAATTCAAAAGACAAAACTGGTAAGTTCACAGCAAGCAGGATAAAGCACTAAAAAATTTTAAGCTATAAAGAATTGTTCATACTCTAACAAAACTAGAAAAGGAAAAAAAATCTCTACTGATAACCACAAACAGGGCAAAGATAAGAAACAAATAATTCACAAGAAGAAAACCAGAGTTTGCTTGAGATCAAAATACGATATATAAAAACAAAATCCACATATTCCTAATCTAGTAAACTAATAAAACTGGCACAATCTTTCTGGAGGTCAATTTTGTAATGTTTCATAAGCCTTAAAAATATTTAGACTTAATAATTCATTTTCTCTGACTTCATTTTCAAAGAATTTTCCTTAAACAGATAAAATTGTAACAAAAATTTATATACAAAATTTTATACAATGTTACTTATAATAAAATAACTCCAAAAAACTTGAATATCCAACATTAAGAGAATGCTATCATCTTATTTTAAAAATGTGTAGGAAAAATACTGGAGAAAAGTATCTAATTGTGAGATTTAGACTTTTCTTAATTGCATAAGGGGTTTTCTGCAGGAAATGATATAAATATTGATATGTACCTTTTCATTAAGGCAGTCAATTAAATTTTCCACATAAATTTTCATGCTTTTATAAAATTTACAATTTAGAGCTTGATTTGATGAACCCTCTAGGTTCTGGATGGTACTCTTTGAGCTTCTGACATCTTGTACATATTTTTCATACTCCCTCAGGTGTGAGCGGTGAGTTTCCTGTAGTAATGTTAATCTAAATAAATAAAAATTAGTTTATTTTTCAAACTTTTTCAAAAGTAGGAATCTAATGCAAATATTTCCAAAGACCACCAAGGAAACTGACAATCATATAAATCTGGGTGTACAGACTAGATAAGCAAAGAACACCACAATAAAAGTAAACCCTTTAGCACCTGCTTAGGCCAAATACTCTCTCTTCAAGTCTTCTTGCATTTGTCTTTCAGAATCTTTCTTTGCTTTATATAAAGAACAGTGAGAATTAAGAAATTAATCAAGATTATAATGCACAGTAGGCATTACTAATGAAATAGTTAAGCAGAATATTTCTGACTATAGCAGTATATTATATTACTTATAACTTGTAAGTAAATATTATGTAGAAAAAGCTAGGGACAGAGCAGGGTACATAATGTGCTTCCTTTTTTGTATAAAAACAGGGGAATATGTAAGTATATATGTGCTTGTAAAGCTATACATATAGACCACCTCTGGAAGAAAACATAAGAAAATGGTAGCAATGGTTTCCTCTAGGGAGGGTGGTAATTTACTTTGTTCTGTATATCCTTTCCACTGGTTATTTTATGTTTTAACAATGAGAGTGTATGGTCTTTTTAAAATAAAAAACCTAGTTAACAAAAAATAAAACATAATAAAGTTATCCAGACAAAATAAAATGCTACAATAAATCAATGATCTGCTGCCTCTTTTTTATCCCTCATGCAAGGTTATCTTTGTACTCTAGGGGGCTGGCAAACTACCAGTCCACCCTTTGTTTTTATAAAAAAAAGTTCTATTGGAACGCAGCCATGCTTATATGTCTACATATTGTCTATGGCTGTTTTCATGCTGTAACATAGAGTTGAGCAGTTACAACAGCAATCATCCAGTCCTTAAAGCCTAAAATATTTACTATCCAGTCTTTTACACAAAAAGGCACTTGCTGACTCCTGTTCTAGATCAAAATGTCCAACAGAGAAATATTTAAGTAAATTATGATATAACAACTATATGGACAAACATGATAGTTTATCAAAATGTCCAACAGAGAAATATTTAAGTAAATTGCTGATATAACAACTATGTGGACAAACATGATAGTTTAAATAAGTAAATTATGATATAACAACTATATGGACAAACATGATAGTTTAAAAAATTAAAGGCTATTTGGTAATATAGAAAAATGCTTATAACCATATTAAATAAAAAAGTAGAATTTTGTATTTACTGATTTTAACCATGTAAAATATGTTACAAAGACTAAAAAGACATTATGGTAGTCACCCCTTAATCATGAGAATAGGTTCCAAGACCCCCAGTGAATGCAAATAATATCAAAGCCTATATATGCTGTTTTTTCCCTATACATACGTAACTATGATAAAGTTTAATTTATATATTACATACAGTACACCTGCACTCTGGGGCCATTATTAAATAAAATAAGGGTTACCTGAACACAAGCACTGTGATACCGCAATAGTTGATCTGATAACTGAGACGGTTACTACGTGACTAACAGGCTGCTGGCTTACAGAGCAAAGAGAAGCTGGACAAAAGGATGATTCTCATCCTGGGCAGGATGAAGCAGGGCAGCTCGAGATGTCATCACACTACTTAGAACAGCATGTAATTTAAAACATATGAATTGTTTATTTCCGGAATTTTCCATTCAATATTTTTGGACTATGGTTTCACCACTGATAACTGAAACCATAGAAGGCAAAAATGCAGATATGGGGGGACTACTGTATACAAAAATGAAATTAATTGTGTTAGTACGATAACACAGGAGATCCTTTTTTTCCCCTATAAGTTTGTTTAATATCAGTACTTAATAATCTAAAAGAATACAGTGCTATATCGCTAGTATTAAATATCTAGGACAAATGTAAATTTCAAAATAAGTATTGCTCACCTAGTATTTAATTGCTTCTTTATAATTTCTAAATTTACTGGTGTAAATGAAATGGAGGTATCAAATTTCTTCACTTTTGAAGATCCACTGCCACGGGAAAGATCTATATCTCTTTCCTAAAAAAATAAAAATAGATTTTTACAAAACCATTTCATTTACCTTCGAAACATTAACAGCATGAAAAGGGACTGGATGATCCAAGGTCTCTTCAAGCTAAAACATTCCATGTCTTTGTAATTTTTCATGGTCCCAATAAAATGTTTTTAAATTCAGTTTTAAAATTTAGAAGTTTAAATTCATATTTAAGGAGCAAATTCTAAAAATTACATTTTTAAAAAAGTTTAGTTTTGAAGCTAATTTTGGTTATAGTCTAATGTACTCTCAGAAAGTCACCCAGTTTTTTAAGAAACAACAATCCTTCATGAATATTAACTTGCGGAGTAGACAGACCTGTCTGGCTGACCTAACACCTATTTCCGTGATAGAAGTACCTATTTAACTCCAACTCTATTCTAGTCAATGAAAAGTAGATGGAAGTCTGCTGGAGGATGTGTAGGTAAAGTTTTTACTTTTCTTTAAGACATTCTTTTTTTTTTGAGACGGAGTCTCGCTCTGTCACCCAGGCTGGAGTGCAGTGGCGCAATCTCAGCTCACTGCAAGCTCCGCCTCCCAGGTTCATGCCATTCTCCTGCCTCAGCCTCTCAAGTAGCTGGGACTGGGACTACAGGCGCCCACCACTACGCTTGGCTAATTTTTTGTACTTTACTAGTAGAGACAGGGTTTCACCATGTTAGCCAGGATGGTCTCGATCTCCTGACCTCGTGATCTGCCTGCCTCGGCCTCCCACAAAGTGCTGGGATTACAGGCGTGAGCCAACAAGCCCGGCCAAGAAATTCTTATTTGGGTTTTCTGTTCCTTGTAAAGAAATGCACTGCTAACATATATCTCATAAAAATGGTATATTTCATATTAGCGTCCCCTGTCTAATTGCAGCTCCTCCAGGCTTGGAATGTTCAAAAGATGCTGAAGAACCTCTATTTTACACAAAGACACATGAAGAAAATTGACCAGACATTTAGCCAATTTCACTGGCTTAGCTATTCTTTTTATATTTTCCATGAAGCATCATCTTTTGTCATTTCAATTCTCACCAAGCCTCCCATCCAGCTCTGCGCATACCTACAAAATTTCCAAACACTCTTGATATTTTGCAGTCAATGACCCATTCAAATATCATCAGTTCCGTAAAGGCTTTATCAAACCTTCCCTCCTATAAAACTTGACCACCCACTTGCTCCTTTGTGCCACCTCAGGAGCCTGCACAGAGTTCTGTCACAGAACCTGTAGGATTTCACTATAATTGTTTTGTTTAGTTGTCTTCCTTCCTGCAAAGGTTGTACAACGTTGTAAGTGGCCGTAGCAGGCTAATGGTGACCCCATGAAAACATGTTCACATTCATGTTCATGTTCATTATATGGCAAAAGATGTAATTAAGACTTTGAGATGAGGTGCATATCCTGGATTATCCCAATGTAGCCTGATTACAATTACATGTTCCATCCTAAGAGACAGGGAATTTTGGGACACAAGAGAAGAAGCAGATGTGAAGACTGAACAAAGAGAGATGAGGCCACAAGCCAAGGCATGCCAACAGCCACCAGAAACTAGAAGAGTCAAGGAATGGATTCTCTTCTAAGAGTTTCTGGAAAGGGGGATGCTCTACTGACATTTTGATTTTGGACTTCTGGCCTCTAGATTTGAGAGAGAATAAACTTCTATTGTTTTAAGCCACCAAGTCTGCAGTAATTTGTTACGGGAGGCACAGGAAACTAATATGGTGGCAAATGGTAGCTTTTCAATAAAGGAATCAGTAAATGTACTCACATTAGCAATAAAAATGCAAATCAAATAAGTGTGAGATTCCATTTTCACCAACTATACTTGCACCTGAAGAGGGCAAGATTATAGTAAAATATTCCCATGATATTGGTGACATTACAGATTGAGCTAAGTTTTCTTTAGAAGGCAATAGAGAAAAATACACTAAGTGCCATAAAAACATTCATCTCTTGATTAGTAATACAGTTCTTGGCAATTATTACAAAGGAATAGTTCAAAAACACACATCTGAACAAAAGAAAGAAGAGGAGGAAAAATAATTAAATATTCACTGATTCTTATTTGTTAATTAAAAAAACTAGATTGCAAAGAACCTAAATTGTCCAAAATGAAGAGTGGTTAAGAAGATTATGATTCAGTGACTCCAGTGAATATTATGTAGCTAATAAAATCAGTTATTATAACAATGTACAAACAAGAGAAGGTAATTTATAGTATGTCAAGCAAGGAAATCAGAGTTCAAAATTGTATGCATATTGTGGTTCCCAAACTGTGTGCAAAGGCATCCTAGCAAATTTAAAAGGGTGTAGTGAGACATTTTAAATTTTTTAGGGAAAAACCGTAATACTCAACATCTGTTGGACTACTAGCTCTTAGTTCACAGTTACATTAGAATGTGTTCCATATGGCCAGACATGGTGGCTCATGCCTGTAATCCTAGCACTTTGGGAGGTTGAGGTGAGCAGACTGCCTGAGCTCAGGAGTTTGAGACCAGCCTAGGCAACATGATGAAATCCCATCTCTACTAAAATACAAAAAAATCAGTCAGGCGTGGTGGTGTGTACCTATAGTTCCAGCTACTCAGGAGGCTGAGGCACGAGAATTGCTTGAACCTGGGAAGTGGAGGTTGCAGTGAGCCAAGATCATGCCACTGCACTCCAGCCTGGGTGACAAGGCGAAACTATCTCATAAAAAAAAAAAAAAAAAAGAATGGGCTCCATTCCTTTTGATGAAGTCATATTTGTGGAGCTGGGTTTTGGGACGACGCTATGATAAAAACAAGTATTGTGTGAAGATCAACATGGAAATGAGAGTGACAGTGTCCAATCTGATTCCAAGGTTTGAAAAGTCATGCAATGCCTAACAGGAACACATATCTCATTAGTAACGAATTTTGGTTATTTAAAAATAAAATAAAAATGTTTTGCCTTCAAATTATCTGTATTATTTTTTTCCAAATGGTTAGTTCTTAGGACATAAATTGTATAAAATTCTTTGAACCACTTAATAAATAGAACTGTTTGGTATTTCTTTTGGCTTACGAGTATCATGATAAAATTACCAAGACACTAACGGCTCCATGAATGAGAAAGTTTGGGAACCTCTGATGTATACTATGATTGCAATTCTTGACCTCATAGAGCTTATATTCTAGCAGCAGACCCAGAACCCAAATCTAGGACTTTTAACCCCAAGTACAGTACATTTGTTAGGTTTCAAAGCTTACTACTTGTTTAAACTTTACATTCATTCATTCATTTTTAGTGACAGGGTCTCACTCTGTTGCCCAGGCTGGAGTACAGTGGTGCGATCATAGCTCACTGCACCCAGAACTCCTGGGCTCAAGTGATCCTCCCAGCTCAGCCTCCCAAGTTGCTGGGACTACAGGAACGCCCCACCAGGCCTGGCTAGTTTTATTTGTTTTTAGTAGAGCTCAGGTCTCACTGTATTGTTCAGGCTGGTCTCAAACTACTGGGCTGAAGTGATCCTCCCTCCTTGGCCTTCCAAAATGCCGGAATAAGAGGTGTGAGCCACTATGCCTGGACAAATCTGGGCTTTAGTGTTGTTGTTGTTTTTAGTCTTAAATGAGACAGGGTCTCACTCTGTCACCCAGGTTGAAGTGCAGTAGCGCAATCTTGGCTCACCGCAGCTTTGACCTCCTGGGCTCAAGCAGTCCTCCCACCTCAGCCCCCAAGTAGCTAGGACTACAGGTGTGTACCACCATGCCTGGCTAATTTTTGTACTTTTTGTAGCAGTAGGGTTTTGTCATGTTGCCCAGGCTAATCTTGAACTCCTGGACTCAAGTGATCCACCTGACTCAGCCTCTTGGGCTTTGGTTTCTAATATAATTTTTAGCGCTTCATAGTGTCCCACCCTACTGTATTGCACGAAGACGCCTATTACTGGATATTTACTTTGTTTACATCTTTTAAAAAATTAAATAAAACACAAAGCTATATTTGTGTATGCAGAAATGTAACACAGTTATGTATCATAATATAGGTATAATGTATTTGTGTATAATATTTACCACAGGGTTCACTATAATAAAAAATTATCTGAGAAATCACATAATGAGATTTAATATGTAAATGATAATACATCTATTCACTAGATTTATTATCACTTATTAAGATGTAGTAGAAGTAGATATACCATTGCAGTGAGATGTCTGTTATATTGTGAAGTGAAAAAAACAGTTTCCAAAGAGAAAATTGGATATATTTATATTATACAGAACAGGTGTCTAAAAGTAAAGTTTGAGGCCTAAACTTTACTTTTAAGCACCTGTCCAATATAAACTGTCAATTATTATAAAATTAATTATTAAAAAAATAGTACCCTCAAGGTATTTATAATCTAGTGGAAAAATAAGATAATATGCACAGCGTAGTGGGTTGAATGGAGGCCTCCCAAAAGATACATCCATGACTTAATCCCTGGAAAGGGCAAATATGACCTTATTTGGAAAAAGAGTCTTTGTGGTTGTAATTAAGTGAAGGATCTTGGATTATCTGAGTGGGCCCTAAATCCAATGACAAGTATCCCTATGAGAAAAACACACAGTAGAGACATGGAAAAAGCCATGTGAAGACAGAGGCAAAGACAGGAGTTATGTAGTCACAAGCCAAGAAATACCTGGAATGACCAGAAGTTGGAAGAGGCAAGGAAGAATTATCTGCTCCCCACAACCCCCCAGGGCCTTTGGAGGAAGCAAGGTGCTACCAACACCTTGACTTCAGATTCTGGACTCCGCCCTGTGACAAATAAATGTCTGTTCTTTTGAGTCACCAAGTTTGTGGTAATTTGTTATAGCAGCCACAGGAATCTACTATACATGGTATAAAGAATGATTACCTCTATGATTTTAACTGCTTTTCTCATTTGTTGTCGTTCCCAAATATCCTGTTTTTCATCTTCCTGACTTTCTTCACTTGTTTCTTCATTTCTACTTACTAGGGGGAAAAAAAGTTCACATGTAAACATTTAATATTTTTCCATTTTAATTGCAGCAGCCAACATTTTTTGAGCTTATTCTACACAGGCTTAGCACGACTTTACGTGTTATTTATTCTTCACAATAATTCTGGGAAGAAGGCACTATTATTGGCCTCATTCATAAGTGAGGAAACACAGATATTGGGAGGTTAAATAGCTGTCTGAAGACTATGACGAAGCTGGAAGTTGGATCCTGGGATCTGACTCCAGAACCTGCACTCTTACCATATTCTCCCACTCAAAACACTACAGCCCTACATATTTCTCAGTAAAAAAACTGAGAAAGAATGAAATGTTTGGTTTTTCTTATCAAACATCTCTCAATTACTACCTAAGAATCTAAACATTTAAAAGGAAGTTGTAAGGAACTGAGTCTTTTTCCAAAAAAAAAAAAAGTTACAAAAACCTTGGTAAAATGTATATATTATAAATGAGAAGTGTGAAAACAGTCCTTTAAGGCTTAGCATTGTAGGTAGATGAAATTTTTTATTACAGCAGGGAAGATTTTAATACATGACATCGAAAATCTCTGTAGATGCTTCCATGTTGAAAAAATACATTTATAAAGGTGACGATTGTTTTCAATGTTTTAAAAATAAGATACTGCATATTTTTTTTAACCTGTTAAAAAAGATCAAGAGGGGGTCAGATATTAATAAACATTATTACATATACTCCTTGATAATAACATTTTGATACAGATACATCTTTTAGAGGTCATAATATCATGGACCAAATCAATGTTAAAAACCGTTATCAACACTGTACAATGTGAGACAGCACATTACATTTTTATGGAGATTTTCTCATATTATTATATTCTAATGAAAAATATCCTAAACTTCATATATTGGTATACACATACTTGATTCCTCAGCCATCCTTTGTCTAAATGTTTGAGGTTTTAGGGTAAATGGTATTCTCTTTTCATGGTCATCAGGTTCACTCTCAGGGTCATCTTCACTCTCTCTCTTCATACCAGAGACGGTAGAGGTATTTTGTACATCCAAAGAAATATAGTCATCTTGGGCTCTGGCCAATTCACGTTTTCTGCGGGCTGCCTGAATAAAAGCTGCATCTGGGATCTTAACTGAAGGAAACAAAGAGGAGGACACTAAAAACCAAAGACCAATGTAAGTAAATATTTCTCACATTTAAGAAAAAGAAAAAAGCACCATTTTCCTAAATCATTTGCTATTTTGATATATGAATGTGACTTTAATAAATGGCTCAAAGTCTGTATCAGCAAAGGAAGAAAACTTAATAGAGATTAAATACAATTTAGAAAAATCAACCAAATCTAGAAGTATCAGAAAATATACAGAAACCACTTCATTTTATCTTTTAACTCTCTTACTCATCAGGTACTGCTCACTTTGTTGAGGGGTGGCTATTTCTCATTTCTGGAAGCTCTGAGACTGTCAGCACAGGGATGTGGAGGGGGCTGAGTGTGGTGTTCCCCAATCAGTGAGAGCTACAGAAGTTAGAAGGATCAATGACAGACCAGTCTGACTTATCAAGTAAGAGAGATACTACACTACGATGTCCTCCTTCCCTCCTACCCACACTTACAAGAAATCAGAAACATACTATAAACAGTAACAGAGCAAAGCCAAATTAGCCTCTGCTGTTCTATAGTGAGCCGCACGTGAATAAACATGAGACGTTAAGAAGTGTAAAGAAAATAATCAGGTTCATTTACCAGGTGAAAAATTTTAAATGACAACAACTCTTAAGAGAGCCTTATTTTTTTCTTCATATTGTACAGCATAAACATCATTAGCATAAACTCTTCCAATTTAAAACAAGTTTCTTCATGCATGATCTAAGGTGAAATTTATCTTCATTCAGGAAAAAATGGTTTCTTAAGAACAATACTACAGTGAAGAAATGGCAAGAGAAATTTTCACCATTTTAAGCATTTCAAACTACTAAAAAGATGCCAAGCTACTGAGGCTCAAGTGAAATTTTCTAAACTTTCCCAAAAGTTGACCCAAATTCTTTGAGAAATAAACAGAAAAATGTCATGTACTTGGAGATGCGCAAAAGCTCCAATGTTAGATACAAACAAACAAAAAGAGATATATCACAGACCAATATGCTTGACATCAGCCCTAGGGAAAATTAAAAGTCCTTGAGTAAATCATGAAGCAATAAAGTAATCAATAGAAGTCAATAAATATTCATCAAAAACAAGTAATATAAAATCAGGTTATTTGCTTTTTTATAGATTAGTATTTACTTATAGACTACTGTCAGGGACATGATGAAGGTCAGGTGTCTCTTCCTCCTTCCAAAGCATTTAAGATTCAAAACCATCACAGCAGGTTATAGTACCAGTTCTCAACCCTGGCTACACATCACAGTCACCTGAGAAGCTTGACATACCCAGGCCTCTATACCAGCAATTAAGATGTTGATCTGAGGCAGAGCTGAGCAAAGTATGTTTTTATAGCTCCCTAGAGGATTTTAATGTGCAGGCAGGGTTAAGACAAGACAGTTAGGTTCAAATACTCAAGTGTATGAATATAGACACAGAAATTCTTATTTTGGAAGTGATTTTCCTGCAGATGACTTGGTAGGGTTTAATTAGTAAGTTACAAGCAATGGGACACAGTAGTAAGATATTAGTGCTACATAAAGGTAACCGCTCAAGTGAAAATAAAGAAGTAAAAGTTCAAGGAAGAGAAGAGTATTGCATCTGTCCTGTTTCTGCATATTCAATACCTAGTTCAAGGGTTCTCACACAGCAGATGCTGAGCAGACAAGGGATGAATCAATAATGTTAGCATATTGTTCAATAATAAACACATCATGTTTTTACAAATTTATAACTTATGAATAATTCTTCACATACATCATCCTATCTGATATACAATCATCTAGGGCTGAGAGGTAAATTATCATCTTCTATTAATAACAAGCAGCCTCTGCTAGAGGGACTATTTCGAGGCAGATATTCCTTCCAAACACAAATAAATGCTTTCCTTCCACATGCCAGCCCTTAAAAGGAACATATTCCTCCATCTTTTCTTCTCCAGCCAGTAAGTCCTTTGAACTTTCAGGTGTTCCTCACAGGACAAGTTTTCAATTTTTAATCAGTGGGAGAGGGGCAATTCACCCTGCTGAACTGTTCTGCACTCCTGTAAGACACTTATCAATCCTTGCCTGTAGGGCACTACGTGCCAGCAACAACTCAACCACTGTAATCATTTAAATAATCCCATACATTTTCAAACGCTGCCCTCTCTCCTTAGGTGGGGGCAGTGCTGCCAACACTTCACAACCACTGCCTTATGCTGTTTAATCCACCATCTTCTTTTGTTTGTTTTTGAGATGGAGCTTGCTCTGTCACCTGGGCTGGAGTGCACTGGCGTGATCTCTGCTCACTGCAACCTCTGCCTCCCAGGTTCAAGCAATTCTTTTGCCTGAGCCCCTTGAATTACAGGTGCGTGCTACGATGCCCGGCTAATTTTTATATTTTTAGTAGAGACAGGGTTTCGCCACTTTGGCCAGGCTGGTCTCGAACTCCCGACCTCACGTGATCCAGCCGCCTAGGCCTCCCAAAGTGCTGGGATTACAGATGTGAGCCATCACACCTGGTCTAATCCACCATCTTTTACAGTAGCATTGTTTGGTACAGTAGCCACTAGCCCCATGTGACTATTCAAATACAACTAAAAATTCAATTTCTCAGTCTCACTATAGCCACATTTCAAGAGCTCAATAGCCACTTGTGACCAGTGGCTACCATATGGACAGTGAAGACAGAAAATTTTTCCAAACCACAAAATATTCTACTGAATAGCACTGTATCTAGAATCTAGACAAGGCTTTAACCGTTTACTAGATTTCAGTTCTTCATATTAGCTTAATCACTTAGTATTTCTGTACCTTGTGTACATGCAGAAGAAACAAAATTACAAGGTTACAGAGCTACTGGTTGTTGTTATTTAATAGGCTAATAAAGAAGCACTTATTACTATATTACAAGCGTTATAAAATATATTTTAATAATTTTATTTCACTAAAATGTGTTTCCTTTACAAAGCTATATATTTTACTTTATTTTCTCAGAAGGGATCTTAGGCTTCTCTAGACTGAAAAAGGACTCCACAGCACAAAACAAGTTATAAACCTCTGTAAGACGCCAGATAAATATTTTTGACTCTGTGGGCCATAGGGTCTTTGACGAAACTTCTCAACTTTGCTACTGCAGTGCAAAAGCACACACAAATAATAAGTAGCAGAAAGACTGTGATTGTGTTTTACTAAAACCTTGTTTACAAAAATAGGTAGTGGGCCAGATTTGCCACCCCTGAACTAGACTGATCTTTCTAAGACACAAAAACATTCATGTCACCTGTATCGAATTTTCAGTGGTTCCCTAAGCCCTATATCATCTGACTCCAACTTGTCCTTCCTGTGTTCTTCTTTTCCTTAAACTCCCAAATACTTTCAGCCAAACAGAGCTATGTTTAGCTTCCTGCACATATTACATACCTTCCCTAGAGTTTCAGATATGCTACATCCTATACCTGAAACATCCTCCCTGAGAAATTCTTACCATCCTTTAGGTATCAGTATCAATCACCCAGCATAGCACAGTGGTTAAGAAGAATACAGGCTCTAGAACAGGCTGGGTTTGAATCCTAGCCCTGCTACTTATAAGCTGTCTGACCTGTGCATGTTAAAATGTAATAAAAATAAGCAGTCAATTTTGGCACTCTGACAATCATCCTTAATGACCTACTTGCCCCATATGTCACCAGAGTTTTTAATATGTTATTAATAACTATATCAAAAACACTGTATTAAAAATAAAATTCTTAACCAAAATCATACAAATTACTAACCTGTTGATGAAAGTTCTTTTTCTCCAAGAGAGCTAGAGCTGTCAGAAGACAAACCCTGATCATCCTTACTTTCTGAGGAGAGATGTATTTCATCCTCTTCATCTGTGGACACATCAAGGACTCTGGATTCTAACAGGACATTAAAAAAATATAACAAAGAGTCAAAATAATGTAATTAATAATTGAAATTCTGAACAACACATGGCATATGTATAATATGGTGTTTTAATCCTACTTCACATATTAAAGTAGACATATTGTTCTTCCTTCAACTTTCTGTCTTTCTTAAGCAACTGAATGATCTACTAAGTGTACAAAGACCCTATTTGTATTAACTAGGCATCTAATAATATATTTCCAAAAGGATGCAATGAGAAGAGGGAAGGAGGCATTAGAGAAAAAAAAGAGACAAAACTGAAGTAATATTTAGAAAAGTAATGATTGTGAGTAAGTAGAAAAGAAAAATATTTAATGTATACTATGTACTAGGCACATTGAAACCTGTTTTACATGACTTATTTAATACTTATAATTCTATAAAGTAAATACTATTTCTGATGAGTTCACTAAGGATTGGGAGGATAGAGAACACCAACTCAGGAAATGGAGAAGCCGGGCTTTCAATCTAATCCCATCCAACTTCAGAATTTAGGCTCTCTTTATAGTTTGCCATATTTCAGTGGCTGGTGGCAAGAAATACTGTAACGAGCACTTTGGTCAAAACTAAACCATGGGTCTATCTTTTCAATGCATGATTTGGAAAGTCAAATAGTCTGTTAAATTCAATTAATCTGTTAAACAAAGATAACACCAAGATAAAACCCACAGGGGTGTTGTGAAAATTAAATGAACAAAATAAAAGAATTCTTGACATTACTGACAAGAAAGGGTTTGTTAATCCACAATAAATTTGCAATCTTTATGAGTAACCTTAAAACATAAGATTACACAGTACTCATTACTTTTAATTTTCTACCTTAGTTAAAAGACCTACATACAGTTCAAAAAAGGCTGGAGTAAAATCAAAACTTAAAACACTTAAAAAAAATAGCTGCAGCTCACATCTTTCTTAGATATTGCCATTTATGACAACCCATACCTGTTTCCAAAGTGGATTAACACCAAAGCAGTGGGTCTCAAAGCACAGTTTATCAATCCCTGGAGGTCCTTGAGACTCTTTCAGAGTCTATGAAATCAAAACTACTTTCATCACAATAATAACATGTTATTTGTTCTTTTTACCATGTTGACATCTATATAATGAAGTAAAGGCAGTGGTGGGTAAAACTGCTAGATCCTTAGCATGAATGAATCAATTTGTAGCAGCAGTTATGGTATTTTTCACTACCTCACATTGGCAGAAAAAAGCCAGTTGCTCTTAATGAAGTAATTAAAAAATTGTTATTTTATTAAATTTTGACCCTTGAGTACACACGTTTAATATTCTTTGTGACAAAATCAAAGTATTCATAAGACACTTTTGCTGCATCTTGAAATGCAATGGCTGCCTTAAGGAAAAGCATTTGTGTGACTGAGTTGCAAGCTGAACTAGACATTGTTTTTAAGAAGCATCACCATTTTACCTGAATGACTAACAAACTGGTTATTCAGACATGGCTATCTGACAAACACTTTCTCAAACTTGAGCCCAGTTTTGACTATCACTTCCAAAATGAGAGATTTCAAGTGAAAACTGAGATTTTGGAAAACGTATATTCTCTACTGTGAACCTAACGGCTTTCCAATGCTTAGACTGATTAATTAGTGGTAATACTAACTGATTTTTTTTGGTATTGTACAATAAAATGCTCCAACATTTGTAAGACCTGCAAACTCATCTAAAGAATACTTTCCAAATAATGCAAGATGTTACCAATCGTTCATGAGTAAAAGATCCAAAGTATAAAACAGAACAGAGTTTTAATGTAAGAACACCCCAAATTTAATTTAATCATATGGTTTAAGATTCCATTTGGCAACTTTTTTTTTTTTTTTTGAGATAGAGTCTCACTCTGTCACCCAGGCTAGAGTGCAGTGGCATAATCTCAGCTCACTGCAACCTCAGCCTCCTGGGTTCAAGCGATTCTCCTGCCTCAGCCTCCCGAGTAGCTGGGATTACAGGCACCCACCACCATGCCCAGCTAATTTTTGTATTTTTAGTAGAGATGGGGTTTTGCCATGTTGGCCAGGCTGGGCTCGAACTCCTGATCTCTTGATATGCCTGCCTCAGCCTCCCAAAGTGCTGGGCTTACAGACGTGAGCCACTGCACCCTCCCCACAACTAACTTTTAAGAAGGGTTAGTTTATTACTTGTTGAGCTTTGTTATACTAAAGCATAACACTCTCAATGATCTAAAAAGGTTATTAAGTACTCGTCTTAACCATGTATCTGTCAGAGGCTGTATTTTCTTCAAATACTTCAACCAAACCAAAAGAGCACAACAGATTAAAAGCAGAAACAGCTATGAGAATTCAGCTGTCTTCTATTAATATTTTGCCAGACATTAAAGAGATCTGCAAATTGAAAACAATGCTACTCTTCCTTTTTTTGTGCAATATTTTTCACAAAAATCTTACTTATCCTTACATGTAATAGATTTTTTAAGTGAATTAATAAATTTTATTTTTAGTATGGTAAATACTGATAGGTATAACCTACTGAAGCAAAAGCTCTTTGGAATCCTTAATCATTTCTAACAGTCTAAAGGAGGTCCAAATCCCAAAAAGTTTGAGAAACACTATTCTAGAAGGCAAGAGAAAAAGCAACTCCTTACTTCAACGTTCATCTACAAAGTTTCATCAGAAAACAAATATAAAAGGTCATGAAACTTTAGACAAACAGAAGGTCACAAGAAAGACCAAGAAATCACGAAGATCACAAACCTGGAGGGCATTATGTTACCTGAAATAAGACAGGCAGAGAGAGACAAACACCACATGACCTCGCATGTGTAATCTAAAAAAGTGGAAATCAGAAGTCACAGAAGCAGAGAGTCGAGTAGTGGTTAGCAGGGACTGGGATTGAGTGTGGTTGGGGAGATACTGGTCAAAGGGCACAACATTTTAATTAGACAAGACGAATTCTATTTTACAACACGGTGACTAAAGTTAATAACAATGCATTGCATACTTGAAAATTACTGAGAGTAGATATTAAGTGTTCTTATCACAAAAAAAGTAAGTACCTAAGGTAATGCAAATGTTAATTAGCTCCATTTAGTCACTGTAGACACATTTCAAACATCATGTTGTATGCCACAAGCATATACAATTTTTACTTCTCAATAAATTAATAAAAATCACTTTAATGAGAATAAAAAATAGTAAGAAGATTTTGGATCTCAAGACTAACCAAAAGCCGTATTCCTCATTAAGCTACAATTCAAACTCAGAGCAGCACATTTTATGTAAACAACTTTATGCTGCCTTACATCTGTATTTAAGAACTCAAAGGTACTTCAAAATGACACTATATTTAACACCCCTACTGGTACCATCTACAGTGACATGAATCTCTATCATGCTTCTTTGTGTTGTATATATTATTTTTTATAGTTGTTGCAAATAACTGGTGAAAAAAGAAAACAAGCAAAGGGGAATGTTCCAAAACCTAGATTCTTGTATTATTCTGGCTAAATGTTTTCAAGAAAGGTAAGTTGGGCAAGTGTCTAAAAGGTACATATAACTTCTGCCTACTTAATAGTATTTGAAATTATTGAATTCTGTTGTGACAATTTAGGTTCTTCATAAACTTTGTGTTAGTTATAACTGGTGGAGTCATCTGATGGTGAAAACGAAGAGCCTCCCAACTGTACAGGATTGTTTTATCTCCCCCAAGGAGTCCAAAAGCTAGATGCAGTCAGCGGGCGAGTGCTCGAGCTGTTTTCTCGCTCACTACCTTCAGGACTTGGACTTAGCAAGGCTGATGATCGGCAGCAAGTTACAGAACCCCCAGAGAAGGATCCAGAGACCCCGCGGCCCCTTCCCGCCCTGTGCCGTCACCTCCTTTCTTCCCCGCGTCACCCTGGACACCCGAGCCTTCGTCCGCGCGGGGAGCCGCTTCCTTGGCGCGCCGGGAGCTCGCCCAGACCCGGCCCCGGCCACGAGGGCCCCGAACCCGGTGAGGCCGTCCTGCCACCCGCGCGCGGCCTCCTCCAGAGGGCGGCCCTTCCTCCGCAGAACCTGGGGCCGCAACTTCTCTCGGCACCCCAGGCTCAGCAGGCGACTCCTCGGCGCCATCGCTGTCGCTGGAATCGGCAGCGCGCTGCCGAAAAGTCCTTTTCGGCCTGTGAGCCATGGCCGAGGCCGAAGGGCCCGGAGCCCTATGACCTGGTGAACCCCAAGCCAGAGCTTCAGTGCCCGCCCCCAGCGCGCGCTCCCGCCTCTCCTGGTCGCCAAGTGCGCGCGCCCGTCCGCCAGCCTTCTACTACCCGCTTCTCTGCGCCTGCGTGCTTTGCCTTCTTGGCTGTGGTTGGCCGAATTCTGTTCTGGCGTCTGGGTCTGGAGAGGCAAAGCGTTCCTTTTGCCAGTTTAGGTTGCGTGGACTGACATCTAGAGATTTCCACGGCCTCTCTGGGCTGAGTCCCACGGAGAGCAGAACTCACGTGCTCTCCTTGTGAATTAGGCTTTATGCTCTCCGTCCTGGACTGGAGCCAGATCCGTTGTCTTTTATTTTCCGGAGAAAGAGCCCCCTCCAACCAAGATGTAAAACAAACGAAACCCCAGTAGTGTGAGGCTCGGGGTAGGAGGAGATGCCTCTGAGAGAAAAACAGTAAAGTCTGTACATAAACAATGCATACAGACTAGCAAAAATCAAACGACTACTCTCAGGCAACAGGACAGGAAGCCTCAGGAAGTCCTGATGACATGTGACCAGAGTAATTGGGGCACAGCTTCGGTTTATACATTTTAGGGAGACATGAGACATCAATCAATATATGTAAGATGTACATTGGTTCCGTCCAGAAAGGTGGGGACAACTTAAGCAGGGAGGGGGCTTGCAGGTCACAGGAAGGTGAGAGACAAATAATTGCATTATTTTGAGTTTCTGATAAACCTTTCCAAAGAAGACAATCAGAATATGCATCTATCTCAGTGAGCAGAGGGATGACTTTGAATAGATTGAGTGGCAGGTTTTGCCCTGAGCAGTTCCCAGTTTTACTTTTTCCTTTAGCTTAGTAATTTGGGGACCCCCCAATTTTCCTTTCACAATAGGTAGACAAGATTGAAAACCTAAATTAGGTTAACTAGGTCAGTCTTGCCCAATCCCAGCAGCCATACTTAAACCACTGATACACTGCTGAGTGTTCAAACTGTGTTCAAATGAGGCAAACGCCAACTTGTAACCAATCCAGCTGTTTCTGTACCTCACTTTCCATTTCTGTACATGAATTCCACACACCTCCCTTTTTTTTTGTTTTTTGGTCTACAGATTTGTTCTGACTACTAGGCATCCCTGGAGTATCTCTGAATCTGCTGTGATTCTGGAGGCTGCCCAATTCATGAATCTTTCATTGCTCAATTAAACTCCTTTAAATTTAATTCAGCTGAAGTTTATCTTTTAGCAGAAGTGAAGTACAGAAACAGCCAGATTGGTTACAGCTTAGCGTTTGCCTTATTTGAACATGATTTGAACAGTTGGCCAGCTTTGATTTGCTAAAACTCGGTGTTTGGCACAAGAGTAGGTTGCAGTCTATTTACACATCCAATTAGGTTCTAGTTCACTAGGTAGGGAAAAACCTTTAGGCTGAACTTAGAATATATAAGGAGGTAGCTTTAGGCTAAACTTAACAGCTTCCATATGCATTCTTGCTAAAACTGGTTTGACTGAGAACCGCTGTATTCATGCTGCCTTGACAAATATAGTGTTCTTTTCTTCTTCCAAAGGAGAGGCATAATTCTGTGTCCCTCCTGAATATACTAAAGTACATGCCATGTGTAAAAATCTCTGCAGCATCCGACATTTTGTTGTCTAGATGACAAATAACTAATGTTTTCATTACAATCCTCTTGCAAACCAGGCAGTTTCCAATGTTTTGCTTTCAACAAAATTGGAAGACCAAATCCAATGGTCAGTTGACCATTCAAACTAATTTTTGATGATGAATTAATGTGATTTTTGCATACAATTCAGGAATTCTGAAAAATGACTGATATTGAAAAGACACTTTTTCGTAGGTAGAGAGTTTTCTCAGCGCTTACATAATATAAAATTAAAATATAACAGCATAATTGACAATAATAACTGTTCTAGCAGTAATATCTATGGATGCATGAACTAATATGGGAGGAGCTATATTTGTCATTAAGAGATGTATTTTCTTTCTTTCTCTTTCTTTCCTTCTTTTCTTCCCCTCTCTCTCTCTCTCATGTTTCTTTCTTTTTTGACAGTCTTGCTCTGTTGCCCAGGCTGGAGTGTAGTGACATGATGTCTGCTCACTGCAACCTCTGCCTCCCAGTTCAAGCGATTCTTCTGTCAGCCTCCCAAGTAGCAGAGATTACAGGCATGCACCACCACGCCCAACTAATTGTTTGTAGATTTTTTAGTAGATATGGGGTTTCACCATGTTGGCCAGGCTGGTCTTGAACTCCTGGCCTCAAATTATCTGCCCACCTCAGCTTCCCAAACTGCTGGGATTACAGACGTGAGCCACCGCACCCAGCCAAGACATGCATTTTCAACAAATATTATCTTTGCTTAAAAAAATTTGACGTATTTATATTGCATTAAGTGTATATTATTGTTGAAACCACCAGTTAAAGTCTACCAGGAGAATACCAAGTCAAACAAAGTTAGGTTTATTTAGCTTGCCCCAGCAGAGGAAAGCACAGACCAAGGAAACTATGGTGTATTGGTAAGAGGGAGTTGAATGGAGTTTCTTCTAAGATTTGGGCTTGTGCTAGATTTTAAGGAGAGCTAAGGGAAGCAGGGCCAGATTTGTATTATATAATGTCAAGAAATTAGATAGTTTAACAATTAAGTACCTCAGTAATCCTGTTAAAGAAGTAGGAGGAACAGAGGAAGGAAGTGGAGTTTGGATGTCATTAGTATAAAGTAGCAATCACTTCAAAATACTTCTTAGAGCTGCAGTATGGTCTTGACTTCCAGCAGAGCTAATTTCTCATTAATAATTGTAAAGATAACTAAATCCAGAACATACATAATTATATATTACATATACATTTTTATGGAAAAACATAGATTGATTAATGAAGAACTTTCAAGTATAAGCTGATTTCTATAATTTGATCAATGAAAGACTTTCAAGTATAAACTATATTTCAGTAGGTAAAATTTTGTAGGGAATAGAAATATGAATTCAAGGAGAAAAAGCAATGATGCAAATGGTTTGTACATTTATGAAATGAGATACTGAGTATTAAATAGGTTCAATTTAAATGAGTAATATAATTTTTATAAAAGTAAGTCCCAACATGTACAGTACACCAGAAATTACATTCTTTGCAAATGTCAAAACTTAGAGATATCCACCTAAAAAAGTGCTGAGATAATAACTTTTTAAAAAATCCCTAAAAGAGCATGCATTCACAAAGGTATGAAACCACTATCACAGATGACCATTACCAACTCAATCTTCTTTATACTGACTATGGACGCTCCAGTTGCTCAAAAACATTTCTTGCTTGGGCCATCTCATAGGAATAGTATTTTAATAATTGGTTGGAAGACTTAGAATATATAAGGAAGCAGCTTTAGGCTAAACTTAATTTAGATAGAGTCATAGATAAAATGGGCATTGTAGTATGTTTTTGGGGGTATACTCCACCAATAAGCCAATTTTCTTCCAGAAATTTCTCTTCTATTAGGTTTCTGTAGCTACATTCACCTCCTGGGACATGGTTAACAGGGTCAAAAGAGATATCAGAACCATGGTAGACCAATTAGAGCCTTTCCTCAGGAATGTCTGAGCTGTGAAATACTCTTCAGTGGTGAGCTGGAGTCAGCTCCTGTGGACTCTGGATGGCTGGTTGCAAAATGTTCAGAAATTGTAGGAGCCAGTTAACGCAGTCATTATTAAACATTAAATTGTATAAATTTACTACTTAAAGGATATTATGAATAAAGGTAATAAATCCTCAAAACTCAACACTTCCTTTTACTACTAACTCTTACTGTTATCTGTGCCATTGAGGTTTATGTCTATTGTATCTGTATGGTAGAAGTACTATATAATGTTGAGCTACTGCACACCTGTTACCAACTCCATGTTTAGTGGTGTCATATTTGCAGCCTGAAATCAGTCATAATGGGAGTACTTATACCATATAAATTGGGAGACCTGAGAAGTCTTGGTGTTTCTCCCAGATATCCAGTCATTAAACATTTACCATCATATCACTGACTATATTTCATCAAAGGAATAGAGAAGAAGCAAAGTTTCTCTGATTGATCTTGCCCCAGAATTCTTTTTTCTTGGCTTTTCTTTTTTCTTGGCTTTTTCTTTTTTCTTGACTTTTCTCAATAAACTGAAACTCATTGATGTAAATTTGGGAAATTATATGATACAGTATTATCAGTTAGTCACAATTTATTAATGTCTTATTATAAAGAGAGGCTTCTCTTTTTAAATCCAGGTAAAGTTAGAGAGCTACTTGATTTTTTTGTTTTAGAAAATTGGCAAATGGCGTGAAAAGGATATTTCTGGAGAATAGAGATACTCGTGGTATCTGAAAGAACAGCTTCCTATCATGGACCAAGTGCTCCTTGTAGTTAGAACAAACTTTGAAGATTGGGGATGGAGAAGTGGGTTCTATTCGGTCCAGTGCTTTTCAGATGCCATCTTTCCATGCAGAATTCCCAAGTTCTGCCATGGATACTGTTCTATTCTCCTTTAGCAGAGGAGGACATCTTTCCAAATTACACTATACATCTGCAGTTAGTGCTAAACCAAACAGGAGAGTATAATTTTTAGTTTATTTTATTTTATGGACAGAGTCTCGCTCTGCCACCCAGTGCGATGGTGCGAATACAGCTCACTACGACCTTGACCTACTGGACTCAGTGATCCTCCCACCTTAGCCTCCTGAGGATCGGGGACTACATGCATGTACCCCCATGCCCGGCTAAGACTAGCATTTTGAAACAGGAGAATGAGGAAGATGATCATGACTGTAATTGAAGAGAAATTGAGTGTTCCATTATGCACTCTTAAGGAAACACATTAATATACTGTACAATTCAATCAGCATTTATTATACACCTACTAGCACGGGCACCATGCTAAGCCCTTGACTAGTGCTCATAAAATCTAATGTTCTTCAAAGTACGTGGAAATAGTTTGGACATATGGATACCGATTGAGCTGCTCTGTGTAGGAATCAAGAGTCTTCATTTCTAGCAAGCTCCCAGGTGAAGGCAAGGATGCTTGTCTGAGGATCACTCTAAATAGCAAGGTCCTAGAGCAGATGCTAAGAAGTATTAATCACCCTCAAGAAGTCTTAAAAAATTGCCCAAATAACTTAATCATTGATGAACTTCATATCAGATTGTAACAGCATGTAAACGTTAGATATCTCAAAATTTAGAAACCTAAACAGCCCCCCGAAAGGAAAACTAAGAATCTATTCACAGTGAGTAAGGTTAATTGTAGAAGTTATTCACCATAAGGGGATCTCTACCTGCACCTCCTCAAAAAGGGTTATCTGCCAGCTTCCAAAATCATTTTAGCTGCTTGTTGCAATTGGAAAGGTGGTCAGCAGGACAGAATTCACTCCCAGTGTTGTTTAAAAGGGAGCAGTTTACTTAAGGACAGTCTAAGTGTGGTGTTGGTGTTCTAGAAGGCCCTTTCCCTTCAAAAGTCACTGACTCACA